TGGCTCATGTTACAAAAAGTTTGTACACCCCGAACCCCAGACAGGCAAAGTTTGCCTTTTTATGAAAATGCAGCTAAAGACTGAAACAGGAAAAAAAGAAACAAAAAAAAAAACAACTATGTTTACAAACCGCTTTGTGTGGTGAGACAAACTGAAACCACACATCGCTGCATCTCCACAGAGAAACACGACGGTGGGAGTGTCATGCTGTGGTTCTGACTCAGCAGGGCTGCACTCACATTTATTCCAGCGCCTGCACTACTTCACTTCTTCTGCATTCATGGTGTAATTATTTGTAAAAGATCAAGAAATGTTAATTCTTTTGCGGGGCAGCGGAGTCCGACGGCGCCTCTTATCTTCCTCTGAGTCATTTTTCATTCAGCTCATGTAATTCGTTCAGAGAACATGGGTGAAGGCTGAGCGACATTTGACAAACTCCCACCAGGAGATGCAAACACGGGTTGACATTCGTCCCGGAAGGAAAGCAGAGCAGAGATTGTAGGTTCAGATGAGCAGAGAGGTGAAACTCTTGTTCACAGCTTCCTGGTCGTCCGGCTAATCTGACCACAATATTTCCACTTGTAAAAACACACACTGGTCCAATAGAAATTTTTTTTTCAAACAAAAACCAGACAAAAAAAGGCTTTAAGATTACTTTTTAAAAATTATTTATTTATTTTTTTAAGAAAAATAGAAAAAAATGTAATACATTCTCAGAGTTTGAGTCACTCTTTCTTTGAAAACACTTCATGTTTGACTTGATCAAGTAATCAAATGCAAATCTGGATCCACCAAAGTCTGCTTTTGAGTGAAAATCTGTGGCTGGATGTGGTCCATTTAAAAAAAAAAAAAGAAAAAAAAAAGAAACAGAAAGCAAAAATTGTGGTTAAATTAGAAGTGTCATATTTTCCATGGTCCACGTTGCCCTAGTTAATCAAGAAAATTCTCCATAAGCGCCTGAGCGGTGCCAAATTTGTTTTAAACCCTTTTAAACAGCCATGTTGAAACCACACATCAATATGGCTGCTTTGATTGGTTAATTAGAAATCAATTTCCAAAAATGTTCTTGGTTTCTAATCCAGGAAATAATTTCATAGTAAAATAATTATAACAATGTTTTTCTCTTTGCTTCTATGGTCAATCTGGTTGCTTTGAACAAGTATCAGTTGTGTCCTTAATTTAATATTAAACTAATTTGATTTGCTTAAAGCTAATCTTTCCTCAGTCTAATTCCTCCTGGTCACGTTTATTCTGACATATTTTGGTGTTTTCATCTGAAAGCCAATTCGGCCTCCTTTCCAAGTCCCTCAGAGTGGAAAGAATCCCTGAACGTTATTTATCCCATTCCTATTTGTTCATTTTCACTGTCTGACCTTTTAATGCTTTATCAGTTCTCATTATTCTCTCATTCTGCCTCAGTAGCTGAGTTGAGTGTTGCTGGCTTAGTGAGTTGGCTGATCAGAGTAAATTGAATTAATTATCATAATGAATCGCGTTTTGAGGAGAAGCCGCGCTTACGTAGTGCTACGTTGTTCAAGGACGTACCGAATGCAATCCTTCATCTATTCAGCTTCATCAGGCAGATTCATAAAGCAATAACTCAGACTGAGAACTATTTCTCTGTTATATCCTGGTGGTCAAGTGTTGCCCCGACTTGATCATTTTAGATAAATTATTACTTTTGTTAATAATTGCCTTTAGTCATAACCGAGTCAGAAACATTCTGTTGAATGACAGAGCATGAAACGTTTGCCTCCATATATATTGTCTCTTAATAGCTTGTTGGAAATAGTGAAGGATTCTCGTGGCTTTTTTTGGTGACGTTTCCGTCTCAAGAGGTTTTAACGTAAATGTAATGAATATTATGAGCACAATGCGGTCAGCCTCGCTTTCCTTCAGGCCCTGATGACTTAACTCTGCTTTCTGTCTCTTCCAACAGTCCATTTTCAGTCGCCGCCTCGTTGAAACTCACGTTCCAAACACATGCAGGATGAGCTCAGCTGCTCAGTAGAGAATAAATACCAGCGGACGCCAGGATTCCTCACACAGAACGGTTTACGAATTTATGAGTTGATTTGAAGCCTTCAGGTCTGTCAGTGTTTGTCTAAAGTCAACATTTACATTCTGTGGAGCCTCCGCTGTTCATGTCAGCATGGAGGAAATCAACCTGCGGGACAAATGCTTGACTGATTTCTTGGCTTGTTAGTTCTTGGAACTGATTCCTATTAGTTTATGGTTAGCCAGCTGATTTGACTGTGTTAGAAGAATTTTTTTGGAAATTGCTTTGTTTTGCTTTTCAGTCTTGTAAAAGTATTTTTTGGCGGTATGGAGAAAAAAGATCCTCTCCCTTTAACTGTAACGCTTCCATTTCGGCACATCGCAGGTTTGAAAGCTTTCGTATTTTCTTGTCTGGACAAACAGTTTTCCAAATGTCCCAAACAATAAAAGGGACGGTTCATTGGTGTAATTGTACTCTGCGTCCTGAGGCACGACTTTGCTACTGTCTCCTTTTCTCCCTCCAAACCACCTGCTGCCAATGTTGAGCAAGCTCTGCACTGGTGGCAACAGGAATCTGTAGAGCTCTGGTCAAACGGTGATCGCGATAATTTCGTTGTGATTTCTCTTTACAGCTGACCAGGGAGCCTGGAGGCCTGATCTGTCGCTGAGTTCATTCATAAAGGAAACGGCTCAGTTTGAGATGTTAACTTGATCATTAAATCTGGAGATCTAACACCTTCCCACATATTCATGCGGTGGCGTGGGGGAGGGGTGTTTCTTTTCAAGCTTTAGTGATTTTTGATATTTCAGAATAACAGAAAAAGAGAGAGAGAAAAAAAAAGAGAAAATGCTAAAATTATTAGCCTACATGCATATTGTCACTTGTCATGTTTTTTGAAAGAGGTGCTGATTTTATTTTATTTTATTTATTTTCTTTACCAGAATCATTTTGACTAAAAAATGGCTTCTTTTTTTGTAGGAAGATGTGCGACTTTACCGTTGTTCAGTTTGATCAACTGGAATGTTTTTGTTGTTTTTTTTCTTTCATTGTGTAAAACACCCTGAGACGACATTTGTTGTGATTTGTCTCTACACAGATGCACTGAATGGAATTGAATTTAAAAGTACCCCACGTTGAATTTTGTGTTTTTATTAGTAACAGAAATCTACTGTCGTTTCACCGACGCACCTGGACGCCGTGTGTGTTCCAGGCCTCGTCTTTAGCGAATGTCAAAACGACCAAAATAACCCAGGAGGCCTTCGGACAGAAATGCCTGCCTGCTTCGAACCGTCCACCCACCTGAACAGAGAGCAGCTTGTCCTCGTTCGGCAGGATCCTGTACGTGTACACGCAGTTCTGGTATCTGTGGTCAGCAATGAAATGCAAATATCTGTCACTGGGATAGGACACGTACAACATGATGCTTTCTTACCAGAAAAAACAAAAGTAATGACATAAAAGAGTATCGGTGCAATGAGGCTGCAATCACAACAGGTTGGGAGAAATTTTAAATGGAAGCTTTAAACGTGAAAGAAGATGGTGCAGAGGGCAAAGGGCGGTGCTGCATGGCAGAACAGAATGCAAATAAAAGGGAACTAGTTTTTATGTTGCGGTGTGTGTGTATGTGTGTGTGTGTGTGTGTGTGTGTGCGTGCGAGAGATGTGACGCGAAACAGCGTAGAACAGCCAGGGGAATTTTAACTTGTAACTTGCTGCTGTAATGTTGCAATCACAAGACAAATGGTGTCAACGGTTTGGTAACGTTTGGTCTGACAGGACCGAGAACCTGAAGGCTTGTTGGGGCGATTTCATCAGGAGGGGCGTCTTTAAATCAACTTTCAGTTCCATTCAGAGCCATTAAACAAAGGTAACTTACAAAACGCAGAGGGCATACGCTCCCTGGACGGACTCGCTGTCCCGGATAAGGAAGCTTCCATCTCTTGCTGCTTTGGAGAGTAGATCCTCAGCTTTGGATCGAGTTATATTGTCATGGTACCAAGGCTGGTGACTTGGCATCCTGTTTCGTACAGCCCAAGAGCCTGAGCTCAAGTGTTTTGCATCTGCTGTCAAAATGAAAAAAATGTAATAAAATAAATCCTAAGAAAAATCCGTCCGACTGCTCTGGATCTCAGCTTTCCTGCTTGGCTGTTCTCATCTTTGCACGGCCCGTTCTACCTCTTCATCATTCTGCGGCTCTTCAGGCTGTGAAAGGAAGCTGCTCCTCGCTCTGCTCTGCTCTGAACTTCCTCATTTGAGAAGTTGCAGAGAGGAGGGCCTTTTGGTGCGGAGCCCCGGCGCAGTAAAATGGAAATACAGGCGTTTGCTTCCACGGTGGGGGGAGTAGCATTCGTCATGGCCTAATGATTGACCAACACAATTACCCAGGCTGCCTGGTACACTCACTTATTGATAAGAACTATTCAATGAAGTGCTGCCGTGTGCAAAAACTGAGCAAGAAGAGAAAATAGGAAGTAGGAAGAAACTCTTTGCTGTCATGCTGAAAAAAAAAGCTCAAACTTAAAAGATAGGAAACTTCATTTGATCTTCAGAGGGTTTGTTTTTTTTTAAAAGTGGATAACTCATCATCAATCCACCCTTAGCTCTTTTAGCCCCAAAGACCTGTCCTGGCTCTCGCTGTCACGCTCTAATCATGTCAAATCCGGAGAGCTGGCAGGTTCTTCAGCGCGCATGTATTCAGGAAATGCAAGCAGAGAGCGGCGGCATGCCTCGTTCATGTGATGGACAGGAAGTCTTGCAGAAATAAGAGGAGGAAAATGAGTTGCTCGCAAACCACAGCACAGGTCACATGACGTGAAAACAGAACTGCATGAAGAGAAGTTCACTTCAGCCCGGCGGAGGTTTCTGGCCCTCAGCAGGCACTTTCACAGAGCCGAGAGGGACTTCTACTTTTCACTCGACTCAGTCGCAGAGCAGCAGCCAAAATGTTCACAGGCAAATCAGAAGGACACAGAAGTGAAAAAACTGAGAGTCAGCTGTTCTCATTTGCACTTTTTATGAGAAGAAAAAAAGCACACATACAAGTTAACGGATCAGAGAGAGCACTACTTGTGAAATTTGTCTCAAGCATTACAGCGGTTTGCAAGTTTCATGAAAGCAGACAGTGTTGCGTAATATTGTAGCAGAAATGCAGACGATAGCAAATTTAAGAAGCTGAAAGAAAAAATGAAGAGTATATTTATATACAATAGAAATTTGTCACATCAGCCTCCTGCAGATATCAGGAAATCTCCACTCTACATCATCACTGGTTAGTGTCAGAGCCGGCCCAAGGGATAACCGACATTTGAGACCTGAGGCCTCCAAAGAGAAATTAAAGGTTGACCAATGCACAGTTTGCATATTTTTCACAATTTTAAAATGACCTTAACAGAGTCATATCTTAAATGTGTTTTCACATCTGACAGTCCGGCGACTCGGTTCAAGTTGGGACCAAAACTGGAGCATTTTTTCCATTATTCAGCTGGACCCAAATCAAGAGTTTGAAACACCAAAAGTTTGGTCACTAACAAAAGTTCTGACACGTGATTGTTCAAAAAGAAAATAAAATAAAAAAATCCAGACAGAGAGCCCAGGCTTCTCTCAGTTTCATTGTGCTTTCCAGTCCGGATTAAATGCTCAAACCACATTTCATACAGTAACGAGTGTTTGTTTCATTTGGCTTACAGAAAACATACATTAAAAGTTGAATTCACAGTCACCACTTCTTCTTGTTGGGGTCAAAGGCCGTGACGCCTGATCACAGTTCATGGGAAGGTTTGGTTTCCTTTTCAAGTGTTTAGATATTTAAATAAGTTAACACATTACTGAGGCTGATGACAGATAGTTCTCTGATGTCCGGTGAAAACAGCCATTCCTCCTTTTCTTCCGAATAGAGTCACACATGACCAGGAAATGAGATAAAGAAACAGAAACAAACAAACAAAAAAAAAGACATGTTTGTGACCGCATGACAAATTCTGACTATGGTGATCATGTTGCTACTTGTTCCTCTCAGATGTTGAGGAAATAAAGTCACAGAAAATACAACATCTTTTCACAGGTTTCCAATGCAAAACTGGGAAAGCTTGTCTCAAAAACAAAGGGACATCAGATATATGACTGAAACAATACATGTTGACTAATAATAATGTAATAGTTGCAATAATGTACAGATTTAAAATGGAAAATAAGAAAAACATTTCCCATTGAAGGAAAATTCGTTAAACACAAGAATCATCGGCTTCTGTTATAAAACAAATCCCTCAAAGCCCCTATTTATGTTGCCCTTGCTCTGTCATCAGACACCATTCAAGCTAATCATGTTTTTAAAATCAATAAATGAAGCTTACTTTGCTGGACAGGTGAATATGGAGCATATTTCTGACATTTCCCAAAGGTAAAAGGTAAAAAGTACCAGGGAGGTTCAATAATCTGTTTTTAGCTTACTTCAGTGCAACTTGTCCGATGTGTGTCAATGTGGAAACCAGAGTCTCGTTGGGTTTTGGCCTCAAGTCCCACAGCAGGATCATCTCTTTAACTACATCAAACCCCGAGCCATAAACCCAGCTCCCCCTTACATACATTGACTTTTACAGCTCTGTCTCTACCTCCCCTGTGAGTTTGGACAGTACCACGTTGATCATCTCCTCTTTGCTACCTTCAGAAATCAGATGATAGCAAGAAAAGCATCTTAAGTCCCAACTTAAAGTGTTTTGTGAAAGGGGCTGTAGTTGTATGTCTATATTATTCACAAAAAATTTATAAATTGGACATCTACGCACGTCATTTGAAGTTGGTCAATCATTGCCTGCATTTCATTGACAATAGGTCTTTGATTAACCAAGAAATCCTCCAAATTTGACCGAAACAGACACTGAAATGTTTGATGCTTGGGCCCTTTCATCAACGAACATCTCACTTTTTAAACAGGCTGACTGCTCAGGGTGACCTTTCATTGAAACTTTGCACAAATAGTTTTGTAAGGGGTTTATTAGATCTGGATGTTGGACTTTGCACTTGCTTCACTCCGTCCAGGATAAGGTCCATACTGTCCAGTGAGGCCTGAACAAAGCTGTTTACGATGATCCTCCGGGTCTTTTACTCAGAACTCAGACTTGGCACTCAGTGAGCTTTCATGTGTTCCCTTTAGGTCTCCGCTAGTGGCCCCAGTCATCCCTGCCTTATCTTTACAGAACAACCTCTTCAGTGTGCTTCTGAACTTCTCTGCCCCGAACAGGTACACCAGTGGGTCCATAGCACCGTTCATGCAGGTGAGGGAGGAGGTGAGGCGATTGGCCATGCTCAGGGCTCTTCGTGTTTGGCAAGATACGTCTGGGTTGTTGTAGCCAAGGATGAAGGTGACTCTGCTCAGATGATAGGGCAGAAAGCAGACCATGTAGATGAGAATGACGGCACCGATGGTACGCAGGGCCTTGAGTTTTAGGGCAGGGTCCAGCCTGGAGCCCCGGTGGAGGCTGTGGATGATGAGCAGGTAGCAGGATAGGGTGGCAAGGAAAGGTGGGGTGAAGGCCACAGCCAGAGAGCCCAGCGCCCTGCGGGACACCTTCTCTCTGTACAGCTGCAAACACACCGTTGTGTTGTCCACCTGCACTGTCTGATGGGTAACCAGCAGTGGCGCCATAGAGAGTGTGACTAAGACCCACAAACACAAGCTGATGATGTGAGCATAGCGACCTTGGCGAAGCTTCATTGATCTCACAGCGTGAACCACAGCCAGGTAGCGGTCCCCTGCCACGCAAGCCAGGAAGTACAGACTGGCATACATGTTGACATAGAACAAAAAGCCCACCAGCCTGCAGGGAACCTCACCCAGAGGCCAGTGGCCATTGGTGAAGTGGTAAGTTGCTCTGAGTGGGAGGATGACCACGTAAGATAGGTCTGCCACTGCCAGATGAACCAAGAAGATGTTAGCAGGGCAGAAAGCCCCACGCTGACGAGAGAAGATCCAGAGAGCCAGACTGTTACCACCGAGGGCCAAGATGAAGACCAGCACATAGAACCACCCAAACAGCTGGTTTTCTATTGTTGTCTCTGCTGGTGCACAGCTCTCCGATGACTGGTTTGAGAGTGAAGATGTCTCTGCAATCGTGGCAGACTCCATTTTTGGTTCCTAAGGAAAGAAAAAAATTGCATTGAGTTTCACAGAAAATTGCAACGTTTGTATTTTCTTTTTTGAAGGAACACATGCATGTTTGCAGAAAAGATGAGTGTTGACTTTTAAACCACTGGAACATGAATTTGGGTTAAGTCGAACGAAAGTTCAGTCTTAGTACGTTCACTCTGCAGCCTGAAGTGACCTAAATACAATTTGTTTTACCCACATTTGATCTGTGTCTGATCTTTTCATGACACAGATCCAATTTTAACCACTGCAACCGGGGCCACTTGGGTACATGGTCCTAAATCTAATATGTGAACTTTTCAGATGTGACCTGTGTCTGTACGGTCAAGTCACATTTATCCTACCTGTACGTAATTCACGCTCGACAAACGTCACTATTCTGTGTCTTAATATGTGCAAGCGTGAAGAAAAACAACAACCGTGGTGGGCAATAACGCAGATTAAGTTGTCAATGACGCTGATCGCTCTGGTTGGACAATAACTTTAAAATCACAAGATGTGCTCCTCCTGAACCATCCATCTTTTCTTCCACAACCACCGAGCACGCCATCTGCAAGTGTCCAAGTGTCCTCTACCTTGAGACACACAGGAAATACAGTCACATTTATTTGGAAATGTGAACAACCATGCAAAAAAAAAAAAAAAACAAAAACAAAAAAACAACAGAAATTCACAAAACATTGGATTTGAACATTAAGGCCCGCAATATGAACATAACCTTAGTATTCTAGGAACAAACTAACTTAGTGACAGGGAGCCAAGCTAGTCCGACTGTGTCCAATCACAGAGAGACAACAGGCAGGGAGCCTGTTTGTAACTCTGCCAGACTCACAAGGTAACAATAGACGTTAGTGTCCCTTGATAATGTGCCAGTGACCTCAGAGCAGGTAATTGCTTCATTCTGACCATTAAACTTCCTCTACAAAGTCCAGGAAGGCAGGCCAGGTCATTAGCTCTTCATTTTCTTTTTGTAGCTTAACTGGCTCCGGCTTCTAACAACTGATTTATGTGAGCTATTGCAGAGAAAACATGGCTTTTCCGGACAAGATAGCATTCAGGAACACTTCTGATTGTTTGTATCTCATTAAGTCAAATATGTGCAACTTACAACTGTTACGTTTCCTTTGATTTTGAATAGATAGACAAACAGTTGAAACTTATTTTTTCAACTGTTTATAAAGGCACATAATTGTTATACCACTGTCTGACATTATGACATTTATATTTGTGTATTAATAGGTATTGGTTTAGTAGATAAGCCACCTTCAAGGGTCTTGAAGTTCTACCCAATGATAAAGCAGACTTCTGGAGATATTCCCCACTGTACTTCCATTTAGTGTAGTATGTGTTCTCAGTGAGAGCTTGTGTACTTGAAGTGCTCTTTTATTTTTTCCAGCTTTTGCTTTTTAGCTTCACATTACAACTGATTTGTTTGATATTTTCCTTGCAAAAACCTGATGCCAAAACATGCTGGATATAACCGAAACCTTGTCTTTGAATGGATTTTGCGATGAATTTCTGGTTTATGTAAAAGGATTTATGTAAAAACAACATTTTTATTTGCATAAAATGTTTCAAACTTTCCTCTATCCAAAGGCTCAAATGTGAACTCCTCTTGTGTATACAGGAAATAACCACCGTTCACATTAGCATGCAAAGGTAAAAAAATAATTATATATATATATATATATATATATATATATATATATATATATATATGGCTACAAAGATATAGATCAATGCTGTCAAGAATTTTTGTCATTTGGTCAAAATTGTTAGACCTGGTTCCTGCTGGCACTCTGAGAATAAATTCGGAGTTTCTATACCTGTATGCATCAGTGGGCTTTTTTGTCATGGCCAATGTGCTTAACCGTGCTAAATTGGGGGCTTGTCCGGGATTTCAACCAGAATATTTTACAAGTAGATATTGACATTTTTAATGTAAGATTTTAATTTTTTTGTGATAATTTTGCACTAACTGAAAATTAAAGTCTATTTGCTTCAATCTTACCCTAACCCTAACCCGTGTATATTGGCCAATTTGGTATCATTTTTAATTTGCAGAAACAGGCTGTGCAGCAATCTCCAACTGTCCACTCCTCTACTTCTGTTGTTGCAGCCGGACACAGGCGGGTCGCAACAAGATTGATTTGAATCAGCCTGGCTGCTTCTGTAGCATTTATACCGAATTTATGCAGAATCCAGCAGCGATTCTAGAACATGTGTAACTAATAAACTTGCCAAAAAACATTGAGGAAAATCAGGGGCTTGTTTTAACAACGGCAGATTAGAGTCATTGCAGATTATGAAAAAAAACTGGAGTACATTTCTGAGAAAAAACTCAAACGTTGAGATTTATGTTTCCAGAAGATTTCTGAGATTTATTTCAAAATTTTTGTCTTTTATTTTGTTTTGTTTTTTGGCAGAAACGTGACCCTCCTTTTGTTTTCTATCCACACCAGCCCTCTAATGCGCCATCGGACGTTTCTCACTTGTGGCCCTTTAGGAGCCAACCACATGCAGGAGTGTGGCTCTCAAAGAGGCAAATCTCAGCCAAGACTCAGACTCTGCGCTTTCATCCCTCTGTAAAGAAAAGGACTGCAACTGGAAGTCGAGGAGGATCTGGAGGTGGTGGTGGGGAAACAATCCGGACGCGGAACAGCGGAGCGGAAAAGCCTGAACACATGCATCTCCCTGAGAGATGATCCAGAAGAGAACAAAAGCAGAAATTTGCTTTCACCACAGCCATCTGGTTAAGTTGATCTGTGCAGACGCTCTCATGAGGAGAGCATTCTGGTCTCCAGTCGACTAATCTGTGATATGTGTAATCTGACCCTTTGACTGGGATGCTGTAGAGTGAACAGAGGAATCTGACAAATACAGTTTTGCTCAAATACAAGACGGATCAAAATCACTAACCGTCTCCTACGTCAAGAAGAGAAATAGAGTTGAGGTGGAGTTATGAGAAGCATCATCTGTGATGTGAATCTGTGTAACTGAACCATTTATTGAGAGAGGCATCAAATCCCAGCAGTGGAGTTCGGTTGTTGTGAGTGAACGATCAGCTGCTCGGAAAGCAAAACCTCAGACCCTTCAAAGTAGACACCAAAACCAACACTTCACGAACTGAAGAAAACATTTTCATTCAATCCAGACGCAGACCGAATCCTCATTCTAACCCGAGTAGATTGTAAAGCACGGTGGCTGACACGTCTGTTTTCCCTCAGCCTGTTTGACATTTCAGGAATCACAATAAGATGCAGAAAAAAGGGAACGTTGTCTTAGCCTGATGGGGAAATGGCTTTGAGAAGAGAATGACCCTGAACGCACCACGAGGAGCAGCTTCATAAAGCCAACAGAAACCAAACGATGACGTTTTTGAGAAAAAAGAAAAACAATAAGTGAACTGGGCAGAGCTGACCACAGGCTCGACATGTTGATTGACTTTTCTAGTAAAAGTAACATAACCAGTGATTTGATTTCTTTGGATTTTTTACTTTTTCTTCTCTTTCTGTAAAGAAGAATGTTTTTGTCTTTTTTTTTTAAGTTTCTAGCAGAAAGTGTCTCTCTTTGAACCCGACACATTATCAGGATAATCGTGGCGAAGCAGCATTCAGCTTCTATTCACCTCAGATCTGGAACAAACTTCCAGAAAACTGCAAAACAGCTGAAACACTGAGTTTCTGTAAATCAAGAATAAGAACCCACCTGAAATGTGAAATGCCCTGCACAAATAACTGATCAATCAGAAACAGAACATAAAAAAAAAATAAAAAACCCCCACAAACTTAAATAAGTGATTCAACTGACAGAAAATACATAAAGTCAGATACTGAGCCGACTCACCAGTTGATATCCTGAGTGTGCGGCGGTCGGTACTGGAGCAGGGAGCTGTGACTGAAGACCAGGAGTTCATGTGGCGCTCCGTGGAAGAACTGATGCTCCGACACGAGGAATGCCGTCCTATGACCCCTCTCCTCTCTCCCTCAGGACGGCCCGAGGAATGAAACTGTAGCTCTTTTTGTCTCGCAACAAATTTGATAACAGAAAAGGAGCCCCGACGGGGAGCCTTTCGCTTGAACCCTGACCCCACCCTTTCTCTCGGCATCCCCTTCTCCTCTGAGAGCCACTTGTGCTGCTCCACAATAGCTCGAGTCAGAATAAGAGCCGCAAAACTGGGGGGGGGAGAAGAATGGCATGCCTCAGTCGGGCAGGACGCCATGGTAACCAGACTGGTGCTGCAGCAAGAGTCTTAAACATGAAGTACACACACACACACACACACACACACACACACACACACACACACACGCACGCGCACACACACACGCACACACACACCCCTACACACACCCACACACACACACACACGCACACACGCACACACACACCACACACACACACACACACACACACACACACACGCACACACACACACACACACCCCCACACACACACACACACACCCACACACACACACGCACACACACACGCACACACACACACCCACACACACACACACACACACACACACACACACACACACACCACACACACACGCACACACACACGCACACGCGCACACGCACCCAGACACACACACACACACACACACACACGCACGCACACACACACGCACAGACACACACACACACACACACCCACACACACACACACACACACACACCCTGCTGAAGAAGAGAAGATTTGGAGTTGTTAATTGTGGAGTTTCTGACTGAGTCTCAGAGATGATGTTTGGTGGAGGGCCTCCTGCTCCACAGGCCAGCGAGGGGAGAGGAGAGAAACTAAACAAGCACAGGAAGGGCTGGGCGTTCACTGCAAAAGACACCAAATATTTCTAATTGTGGTCCAGTTTCCAGTGCAGATACCTTAGTACACTTTAAAGAAGACAAAACTCACTTACAAGTAACTTTTCAGCAAGACACAGGAGCTTGTTGCAAGTAAATAACTGATGAAAATGCAGTCGATTCACCGACAGATTATATCAGTTTCACATTTTTTTATAAGTAAATTGATTTTCCAGTGGTTCTAGTATTTAAAAAAAAAAACAGGATTAAGGATTTATTTACTCAATAAATCATGTTTTCTACATGTTTTCTGAAAAGGTACTAGAAGTTGTTTTTTTGTTTCATTTCAAGTGTACCAAACATCCACTTGAGTGAGTGGGTGAGATTGCGTGTTTCTGCAGTGTTCCCGGGGCAAACAGGGGCCCTTGTTGCCCTTTTGCCTCCTGGGGGCATCTCGAATCGGAATGCCCAAAATAATCAGTCACACAGTCGATGGACAGATGTGGAGAAAGGCCCGTCTGGCCGAGGGGGGATAATATTTCTTTCACATGTGGGGCTCCGCAGCTGTGTGCTGGAGACATGGGGCCTTATTCTCTTCTGCATCATCTGCATGCAAATGCTTTTCTGCAGACTTGAATGCAACCACTATCTGCCGAGGTCTGGAGACGGACTTTTGACATCGCTAACCCGTTAATCTGCTGCCAACTTGCAATTGGGGCGGTTGCCCAACTCCCCCCACCTTTATTTGGCCGTTCTATTTTCTCCATTTGGTAACAGCAAAAACATTTCTTTGTGGATTGGCCGATATCAAGAGCATCATTCTTCATGCCGCTGAAAGGGGTTCAGGCAAAAGTGGTTCCTCTGAACCAATAAAAAATACAGCTGCAGTAAAGTAATGGATCAAGAAATAAAAGCTCCCTTTGGAAACCTACACAGAAGTTTTTTTCCATTAAAGAAATGAAAAACAAAAAAAAATAATAATTAAAGGTTGAAAAAATAACTCCAGACACAATACTCATGCAAAATAAAATGCTGAATGGTACTTTCCAAATAATTTCTTCAGTGGCACTGAAGAAATGACTATTTTTCATAATAACCTGCTTACATTGCCACAGTGGCTATCAGGGCTTCTGGAGAAAGAAAAAGGAGCCGATGTTTTGAGATCAAAATGAGACATTTTCCAGAAAGACAATTTGTAAACTTTGAGATCCAAAACTCAAGTTTTCACCCTTAGGGGCTCAGAAAAATTCCAAGTGCTCTTTTTTGGAAAGTTTTTGAGCTTAATCTCAAAATGTGTAAATTTTTTTCTCTCGCTAATTTTTAAGTACTTTCTAGAAAATTTCTGAGCATCTCAATTTTTTTTTCTTTGGGTGGAAATTTACTATCTTTTCTATGAACAATGAACCACCAATACATTTCAGAAACTGATCCAAATGCAGTAACTTCGAACAGAATTCATACACCTGGAATTTTATTTTTAAAATAAAATTTGTCAAGAGAAGAAAAGAAAAAAAGGGAGAACAGAAGTTAACATTTTCTCATGGGAACGCCCATTCTGAGATTTACTACTCAGACTGATTGGTAAAGAAAGCTGCTTTGAAGGGCATCCTGCAGAGTTTTTAACACCACAAGACATGTATGGAGTAGTGTGTCAAGCTGTGGGGCCCCACGATGTGTGTGTGTGTGTGTAACACAGGAGCACAAGCGTGTTCAGACATCAGTGTTTGAAGGAAGTGACACGAAGCTCCAGTAAAAGGAAGTGAAGACGACTGAAACAGCCTGGTGGTTCAGCAAAGATGGTTTCCATTAATGCAGGGGTATGTAGCGTTTATTTTTTTAAAAATTTAACTTTACTATGTTGTGACGACACAGACAGATAATCTGAAAAAAGTAAAAAATAAATTGAACTCCTCTGCCTTCTACCAGTGCTAACTAGAATCAACCAATCAGAGCCAGGAGGAGGGCTTTAGCGCTGTCAATCATCTTCCTCTCTGCTACAGTGTTTCCACTCTCATGAACAGCATGTGTTTTTCCGGAAAGGTAAGTTACTTCTACCATTATCATTATCACTTTAATCAGAACATACACAAGTTTGATTGACAGCATTAAGTCCCTCCTCCTGGCTCTGATTGGTCATTTCTGACGAGACTGGGTATTCAGTGCCAAATGTATTTCTTCATTTTGCACAAAGCAGAGTTCAGTCTTTCCACAGATTGTCTCATACCATACTGACAGGATATGGTGGCAGTTTTAACAATTATGTAAAAAAAAAAAATAAATAAAAGTTAAATACAACAGCTTTTGTATAACTGATCGAAAGTGGAGATCTGACTACAACCCTGAAAATGATCAAATCGACACTTTAAATGTTTCTCTTAGAGAATCTCTTCATATCCATTTATGGCTTGAATGAAATCATGCAGTCATTCAGAGGTTTCCTGGCTCATTGGGAAATGACATGAAATGGTGACCAGCATGTGGAGCTTCAGCCCAACAGACCAAGTCCAAAAGGTTGGAGTTAACTCGACGGGACTCAGAAAATGTCTGACTGTGACACAGTTGAGACGCAGATACTCTGATTTGTTTTGGAAACATTGTGAAGTGCTACCAAAGGGACATTTTCCTGCATTGTTCTGGCACTGGGGGATTCCAGGTGGATTCCAGGTGGATTCCAGGTGGATTCCAGGGATGCGCATCGCAGCGGCTGTTCATGCAGGGCTGGTACAAGATAATATGGAAACCCTTCCTTCTAAGAACCTCAGCATCACTAAATATTGATAAGGTGAATCTGTCAGAGGGAGATCAGGTTTATTAGCCGAGTTTAAAATTAATCACTGATTATTGGTTATTTGCTGTGACGTATTTGTGAACAAATCCAATTCAAACAAAAAGATTATAGTCATGGTAACACAACAAGCAAACTATCAAGATGATTCTTTAAACTTTTACAACGTAAATGTCCTTATTAAATCCTCAATGTAATTTTTTTTCTTAGTTGAACGCATTAAATAAAATTGAATAACATTGTCATTCTCCATAAATGAACGCTGCAGGTTTAGATCAACGCTTGGTTTTGATCTTGTTTGGACAAAGTATCCATGGCTGCTGATTTAAGTCAGACAGGAACAAGCGCAGCATAATTATTTGTAAATTGGGAAAGAAGAGCAAGATTACCGTACTAATACAAATCACATAATACAGATGAAATTCAGTGCAACATTTTACTGCATACAGTCCACATAGTACAGATTGTAATTATCAGACTGAGTCTCGACGTCTAATCCTAAATAATTCAAGGACAGAAAAAAAAGAAGAATCCTGATCAAAATAATGCTTCATTCTAGTAAACATGCAAAAGAACCTTGATTCAAATCAAAACTGAGAAACATTTCTATTTTTACGCAATAAATCTGTGACTTTTTCCATCAAACCACACTGAAATCTTGGCTAATGGATCCGCAAGCTGCAGGTCTGACTTTACAGGTTTACATGTTGTAGCGCTGGCCTCTGGTTCTCTCTTTGAGGTACATGCTGACGTAGGAGGTTATCAGGTCATCCATCTTGTAGCCCTGTTCATGAAAAAGGAAAAGAAAAATGAATGCAGGTGGAATATAATTTCAAACTCTTCAAACTTCATATAAATTCAAACTGTTAAAAAAAACAAAAATAAAACAACGTACCAGCGACGTTTCACAGAGGAATTTGTTGCCCTTCACTAAGCTGCCGACGGTCATGTGAAAGTAGGTGCTTCCGCTGCACCAATTAGCTATTTTGTTGTACGGGTGATTTGCCAGGACCTCCTTGAAAAATTAAAATAAAACAACAGTAATTGCAGAAAAACCATCTAATTGAACATTTATAATTGCAAATTTTGCCGTTTCGAAACCTTAGTTTTCGGGTGCAGTATTGTGAGTCCGGTTTTGCTGATGGCAATTCGCACAATATCCGGAAAATCTTGCTCTGATGTTTGCTATAAAAAAAAGAAGAAGCAAAGGTAAGACGGAAAAATGTAGGCTGAACTGGTTTTTACGGCTGCAGGAGCAGAGCGGTGAGAGAGTCTGCAGGACCCACCTTCACTTCAAAGAACGCGCAGCCGAAGGTCGCCCAGCGACACACCGCCTTCAGGAAGGCAACTTTTGCTTCCTCGACGGCCATGCCGCCCTGTTTGTTAAAGAAGGCGGCGATGTTCTGCAAGTGGAAGAAACGCAAACATGTAGCAGCATAAAAAAGAGAAAAAAGGAAGAAAAGAAATTACCCCGTTTTTAATGAGGTTAATGAGTTGCTCTCCACCCCCGCAGGCTGCAGGCTGAGTTCTCATCCTCCTCCATAATGGACATATTGTTTACATATGATCGGCAAAGCAAAGTCTCATTATAGAGAAATGTCACCATGAGCCAAACTCTAACAAAAGAATGTTGTATCTCTTATTCTGCTTTTCCACAGAGACCCTGTATAATCCTCTCCTTATTCATGGAGAGATGTGTTTTTTTTTTGTAAACACCCGCCCACTGCTATCAAGCACTTATTAATGAACAGCTTATGAAGTCACAAATCATATTTCTTCATAAAGGGCATTATTTACAGCACTTAATTTTGCTTAAGATCTAAGTACTGGAGCAGTTCAAACCCACTAGGTCACATGGGTCAAACTCAAGGCCCGGGGGCCAAATCAGGCCCACTGCAGCTCTTTATGTGGCCCTCTAGGCTCCCCACTCAGTAAGACCCTCCAGTTTTCCACAATTCCACAAAATTCACACAAACGCAACAGATCTTCAAATTTTTTCTGATTTCACAAGTAAATATTGGTAATAACACTTGCCAGTTTTTTCATTTATTTTCTGCAATAATTACACTAAATTTCCACTATGAAGTTTTTTAAATGTGTTATTCTGCATTATTTTCAATCCCACAGAGAACAAAATAACTATCCATCCTGTTTTTTCAAAAATGTATGTTAATCTTTATTTTACATTCAAAAATGGATAAAAGTCGTGGTACTTTAAAAATTGCAACTAATTTACTAAAGTACATATACCTAAATGCATAAGATGTCTTTTTTTTTGGTTCAAAAATTCCTGTAACATTTAAATTATTATTGTTTGGCTTCTTAGGTTGCAGACGGATGTTTGTGGGTGCAACGAGACAAAAGGTGAAAAAGTTAGAGGGATATCAACAGATATCAAAGATACTTTAACTGCAACCAAAATAACACCAATAAACATTTACTTTAGAGCGGCCATAGAGGTTTCTAGTTTTGCACCAAAACCAGCAGGTAACATGTTCCTCTCTGCTGATCTCTGAACTCCTTCACATCCCCACATTTATCTAAACCATCAACATCCCCACAGCCAGCCTGCTACTTCTACCTTTTTCCACTCGTTTTCAGACATGGCCTTCAGCTGGTCGGCAGGAACCAGCTCCTTCAACACCTTGGGAATCGTGGGGATCTGGCTTTTGTCACCGTTGACCTTTATCCTGAAAAGCAGCGCAGCAATGTTGACCATTTCCTCCTTGGTGCAAACATGGTAGCCTCTCAGGTACTTTGGCAGCTCCTGGAAAACAGATGCAGTTGGGGTTTGTTGCGGTAGTTTGCATGCAGTCGTCGTCAGAGTGAAGGTTTGTTTTGGCCTCAACGTTCAAATTCATTGCAGATCATCTGTGGCCCACAAGGGATCAAAACTATACATACACTCCCAGTAACATTAGGATTAAAAACCACTTAGGAAATGGGCTGGATGTTTGACCACAAACACAACTTTTAAGCAGATCTCATGCAATATCAAGATGGCTCAATTTTGATATTTATTGGAGAACATTTTCCAGCTGGAATACCCAACTGTGTTGAAGTTTCAACAATCTGAGATAGGATGTACAGGAACCGCCTCGCTTTGTCTGCTTCGGTCAGAAGTCAAAGCTTGTTCCAAGAAATCGCTCAGCGACTGACCCGCCTGGAGATCTGGCATTACTACATGTTGGACCTTGAAAACCTCTCGTCTTTTGAATTCTTCATCTCTTTACCCCAACTTTCCTCAAAGGTTAAGCCGGGTAAAGTCAAATCTATAATCAGCTAATAAACTAATACTTCAGTCTCATGAGATTTAGTGAGACGTCGTCACATTCATCTCTTACATCTGGAAAATGAGCAGGTCATAGTTAACTCAAGAGACTGAACTAGTGAGTGACTTCTGCTCATTGCTGAAACTGTTGCATTTCTTCAGCGATTTGACCTTTGAACCCACTTCCCGAGACAGTAGATAAATAACCGCCTCTGGTTTGTTTTGTTGAGAATATTTGCCGATGGTTTTTCATGCTGCCTTCCCAGCTGACATCCTCATTTGTGTGCGAGGCCTGATTATATTCAAAGCAGACGAGGACAAAAGTTTTCCACTGGGTGTAAAAACGAGCCCACCGGTATCAAGTATGAATACCGGCATGAAGCCGGAAAAGCAGAGCTGCTGACTGAGACGCACCTGAGGGAAATGGAAGATGAGGTCAGCCTCGGTGTCTCTGCCAGGGATTACGTTGAACCACAACTTCCTCATGAAGAACACGTGGTAGGAAATGTTGACCGGTCCACCTGCAGCACACAGAGACAGACAGAAAGAGAGAGGAGACTGCAGACAAATGTCGCCGACCATCCAAACCTTCAGTCTCTGCATGCTGTGTGGTTACCGTCTTTAATCCTCTTGGCTTGTTTCGACCAGTCGGTGATTTGTCTCAGACTGTCGAAGAAGTAGTCTGCGTCGTTCAAGCTGAGAACCTGAGATTAAATAGAGACGGCCAGACAGTTTTACCCTCATCAAAAAGTAGTCCTTACAAAAAAACATCTACAATGTTCAATTTTGGTTTTTCTTTTTCCAGTTTTTCTCTGTCTGAATCTTTCAGGGTTCATTTTCAAAATGGGAATGACGAGAAAAAAAAAAGTCATTTAAATCAGGCAGAGCAGTGCGAATCTTTAACAATGTAGTTTCTTGCTTAAACTGGCCTGTATCTACAGTAATTAGAAAGGTTTGAAACAAACACGAGAAAAAGAAAATCTCAATCTTTCTGGAGGCTGCGCTGGGACCACCAGATCTCCATAGCAACCAGGAGTTCACAGGAAACGACCACGAAAGGTTTGAAACTGATGGCTGAACCTTGTCGTGCGTCTTCACAAAGATGCTGAAGCCGTCGGCTGAAGTCAGCTTGAGCTTCTTGGAAATGTTCTGGATGAGATCCCGGATCCTGGTGCTGGTCGCCACCTCAAAGATCTGGACATCGGGAAGAGAGGAATCCGTGTTGACATTATGCTGACAAAGCGGATTTGTTTGGCTTTGATGCGAGAGGGAGAGAGAGAGAGAGAGAGAGAGAGAGAGAGCGTCCCGCTGCGTACCTCGTCTGTGTCGTTGGGGAAGTAGATTTTGTGGAAGATCTGGGTGCTGTTCTGCTGGATGGCGTCCACCTCCACCTGGTGGGGCGGGAGCTTCCTGGGTTCAATCCTACACACAATCATCAAAATGTTGATACTATGTTTATGTACTTTTGCACTGACTTGAGTTCATCTGACGGCTTGGTTTCACCAATCAGTCCCTTCAGGAAGTTACGATGTTAATAGAAATTCACGCATCATTCCCCAAATTTTGTGCAGACTTACAATTTTCCCCAGTCATCGCAGCTTTCCCACAAGTCTGACCAATCACCTTAACGTTTCCTGCATTTCCTTCTCTTCTGACCAATCACTGTAACTCGGCTGAATTTCAACCAATCCCCTCATCTCAGTTATAATTTAACTCCCTGTTTCGATGACAGCATGCGTGACACTAAAGGGTAACTTCACCTTCTTTTGTTGTTGCAAAAATTATATTTTGAAATACTGTGTAGGATTTGGTTACACTATGTTTATATGAAATCCTTTTGCATTTTGGTAACCCCTCAAGGCACAGTTTCATTTGTAATAAGGGTGCCATTACAAGAAGAACCCTTCCTTCTTGTAATTGTTGAAAATGTTACTTTCACTTTAAATATCAACTACGTGAAATTCCTGTTTTTTGTTTTTTTTTGGAAAGATTACATGAAGCAATTTAAGATGCAGTTCCTGCTAGTCTTCTGTGTAAGTGTAACATATCAAAATGATTATTTGTGTAGCAGAATTAAGTCACCACCAAACATATACATGAAGCAGTTTTTACTTTGCTTTATTTTAGTTTTTTTTTTCATCAAAGACATGATGCTGCCGCTGCTTCAATTTCTGCTAGCTGATTAAAAGCTGTATTGAAATAATCCGGCTTCGTCGTCATGCAGACGGTGACTGTAAATATGGTCTATTTATAGCAGAGGCCATGCAAATGCTGCGTTTGGCTGGTCACCCTGGAGCAACGTTGATGCAAGCCATTTGTGTTCACAGCCACTTTATAGATGAAACAAGTTCTGCATCACACTGCAAGCGTTTCTTTTTCCTCAAAGAAAGACAACAGTATAAAAAACACTTCAAGAAAAAAACAAGACAGTTAGACTTTTTCCTCCTCGCAGCAGCTTATCAAGCGACAGCAGCCAGGAAGACCGGTGCAAGACGCTGGTGACATACAGGGCCAACAGTTTCTGCGTTGGTGGTGCGGGACAAACCTGAGCGAGCTCTGCAGCCGCTGCAGACAGTCGGAGGACAGCTGCTCTCTGCGCCGCGACTCCACAAACTTCTGGGCGTGTCTCAGGAGGGCCTGGCTGGGCGGGAACAGGCCGCAGCACAGCCACAGCAGCTGCCAGCCCTGCTCTATGCTGAACCTGCAAGCAGAGGAGACCTCAGTAGAGGTGGCTGGATGCAGATGGATACCGTACTTTTCTGACTTGTTTTTAAAACATGTGCATCCTCATCCTTCCCATTCAAGTGATTTTTGCTGGGTTTTTGGTTTCTCTCACAAAATCCCTAAGAAAACACACCGAGGTCTGTGTTGGTAACTTCACAAAATGTGAAAAAATATCAATGTATGAGTACATCCTTTCATATTAATAATAAGAAAAAGTGAAATCTTTTAGTTTGAAAACATGCAAACCAATAATAATAATAATAACAATAACAATGAAAAAGCGCCAGGAGGCGTGTGGCTGATTGGAAGAAAAGAGGCAGAAAAAGCAAAGAGTAACCTGTTGTTGTTACTGGTCATTTGCTTCATGATCTGGCAGTAGATCTCGTCCCGCAGTGCCTCGTGTTTAGTGGGGGGGCCGAAGATCTGGTCAGTGAGCTCCAGGGGGCTCTGCATCTGCCTGGTGGGGTAATCTCCCATGTACTTCAGGATGGGTGAGCCAGAGGTCAAGGACAGATAACGAGAAGCATCACGATCCAAAAAGATTCCAGTGATTTGATGGTAGAAAGTTGATCTGATGTTTTCCACCAGTAAACACACAGCGGAGGAGTCAGACTAAAAATCTGATGAATGATGTGAGTTGTGCTTTATGACAGCGTTTGGTAGAAACTATCAGTTACATTTACTCAAGTAACTTTTTGGAAAAACAAAGCGCTTTTAAGAGGACTTTTACTATGAAGTATTGATTCTGTTACTTGAGTAAAATGTCTGGATGCAGTAGGTATACTGTGAGGAACTGTGAATGATGTTACCTCAAACACACATAAAAGAGTCAAGTCAACATCTCCAAGTGTGTTTTTGATGAGGAAATTAGAAAACGTAAATTTTACACAACAGAGACCCTCTGAAGAAACTCTTTAAACCGGCGGCAAAACACACAAACACAAGTGTTACTGCAGCTGTTTTTTCTTCCCAGCTGTGCAGAGAGGATATCAGTGAAGGCCAGGCAGGCTTTGTGGCTGAGCTCCGGGTTGCCCACCAGGTTCTTGAGGAGAGGCTGTCTGATGGGCTCTCTGGAGTGAGCCCACAGCTTCTCCGGCGCTGCGTTCCTGGAAATCACCTGGCGGTTCAAATCCTTGGTGGGCTGTCTGCAAGACGAAACAAAAGGAATAAGCTTTTATGGAGAAATTCACCTGCTGACGACTGAAAAAGTACAAAGCACAGAGCTTTAAAAGACAAGAGTCCAACCTGAAGTACTGCAGGGAGAAGTCCTTCAGCGAGGCGGGAGCTACTCTCTCCACGGTGCCCATGTCTTTCCGGTTCGCCTCCACCAGGTTCTTCCTCTGGTTTGGCGACAGGTTGAGGAGATTCTTTGGGAAAATGGGGAAAAGTTGTTTTAGGAATCATCGGAACAGAGGGACAATTGAAAGAAAACAACAGAAGCTGTGGTGACGGGTCGGTACCAAGACTTCGCTGCTGGGTTTGCTGAGTGTCGGCAGGATAAAGATGGTCTCCGTGGAGACCGCGCCGGTCTTTTTGGTGCTGCTGCTTTGACCCTTGATCCAGCCGCGCTGCTTGGAAAATTCCTCATCCTTGATGAGAATCAGCAGCTCTCCTCTTTTAAAGCTCAGGATGGTGGGGTCATCTGAGGAAGAGGAGGAAGAAGAGAGTCAAAAACCGACTTTCCCCATTGAATTGATTTTATTGATTTCCTTTTTGGGTTTTTGAACATTTAATTTTAGAAAAAATCTGGGATTGTGTTTTTTGTCAACAGCTGGGTTTCTGTAACTGAGATGAGCTAATGCCTGAGGCGGCCATCTTATTTTACAACTTCAATTTATTTGGTCTTTGAATTCAGGTCAACTCTATGACAAAATGTCATGGTTAGGCTAAGATTTTGTTTTTGACAAAAATAAAGTCCAAATATTAAAAGAGTACAGCCATATTAATACGAGAATAAAGTTTTGATGTACATAAAGTCAAAAGAATACGAGAATAAAGTCTTGTTACCTGAATAAAGTCATAATATTGACAGAATGAAAGTAGTAATTTTAACAAAAATGCTAATATGAAAAATAACCAAAAAAATAGTTATCCTTGAAACAACTCTTTTCTCCTAATTTTAAGACATTCAGGAAAAAAAACTTCTTTAATTTGCTAATATTAAAGTTATATTTCTGAAATGAAACTGAAATTCTCGTAGCCCGGCCTCCAACTCACAAGACAGATGATTGAAAAGAAAAACCACTTTTTGAAAATATTGTCTGTCATTTGTAATTTCCTTTTTTTTTTAACAAAAGAAGCCAAGAAAAAAACCTCAATGAAATTGGATCTGGAATGAAAACAACTGTAGACTTTATTCTTAAACCATGTCGCCTGGCCTTATTTCAAAAGAAGTGTGTGAAACTCCAGAGGAGCCGGCGGTCTGACCTTGGCTGCTGACGTCTCTCAGCGCCACGGCATACTTGGAGCGCTCCGTCAGTCCGCTGAGGAACATGGTGATCAGCTCGGACATGTCTTCAGCAAAAGATCCGCTCAGGGTGAAGTCTCCTTTCAGCGTCAGCAGACACACAGCGTGGCCCGAGGTTTTACCCTCCCTGAGCAACAACGACAGAGAGACACGGCTACCACAAGGACTGAGGCAAAACCTGAGGAGATCAAAGCTCCAAACCATCTGCAGCGAAATAATACTGCCTACTAATCTTTTAGTTGTTTAATAAAAGGATAGCAAAAGGTGCTTAATGAGTTTTTTGTTTTTTTGCAGAATTTGAACCCAGTGAAGCTAAAAATGCCACTTGAGTTCTGAGTAGAACATGTTAACAGATATGTTTTCTATCTTAAGCTCAAAATGGATATTTTAGTTTTGCCCTAATTCCTTCTGAGTGTGCTATTCTTTCAGCAAACAAACTTTCTTTGAATCCGTATACTCTGATTAACGATTAATCGATAACTAAATTAGTTGACGATTATTTCAAAAAGCAATTAATCACATGTTGTTTACATGCATTACGAGTGCATGCATTTCACATTTCCTTCAGCGTGTCCGCTCCTGTTTCAGATCGTCCTAGCTCAGGAAGAAGCGTCTCTACCTGACGGTGTTGACTCCCGTCACTTCTGGGAAGGACAGCTGCAGCAGCCTCTTCTCCCTCTCGTCCAGGAACGTGATGCCGGTCCAGTTTATGGCCACAATGAATTTACTCTTTGGCAACGGGGGACCTGGAGACATAAACACAGGACACGTTCAAGAGTGAGCCTGCCTTAGATCCTTCTATCACATGCAAGCACTCAAATTATATTGCTATCATGAGTTAGTAAATGAATTAATTAATGATCCATCTGAGCTCTTACCTTAGGCTGGCGTCATTAAACATCCAACTTGAATGAAATGGAAAAATAAAACTTGGGTGTGTCTATTTCCACACAGTGCCTGTATTTTTTAATCATTAATCCTAAGTTAATCTTGCAGACAGTTAAAGAAACACTTTCATTCTAGACCTGAAGTTAAGTAACACTAAATAGAGGAAGTGAAGTTCATTTGCATGGAGCTCAAAATATACAACACTTTTGCTGTGAGCTGATGTAACACTCTCCACTTTCAGAATGCAGTAACGCTAAGCGACGGCGTCAGTGCTGTGCAAACTCTGATCACCTGAACAGGAGAAAACATAACTAAGAATGTGTAACTTTTAGACACTGACACTAACGAAGCCATAAAAACCGACTTCTAAATGAACTTCTTTCATTTCTAGTTTTACCTGGCTTCACCAGAAAAAATGCCAGATTAATCTGAGAGCCTAGTGCAGGTAGCAACTCCAGTAAAGGTACATGTAATTTTATTTATAAAGCACATTTTCAGCAGCAAAGCTATACAAAATAACAAACCAAAAGAAAGAGCAAGACAAGAAAAATAATCTAATGTTGATCTAAAGTACGTAAGCTAGGTGCTCCAGTTCAGGGTTGCTAAGTCTCCTCTGGTCTAATTCATTTTCTGGTTTGGAAGAAAAGGAGTCTAAAAAGTAGTTGCTAAGGTAGTTTTTTCTGGATTCTAAGTTTGTTCTTCTCCCTGTTCTCGGTTGCTGGATAAGTATTCTCTGGACTTTCTAAGTGTGCTCTAAATTTGTAAAAGTGATGAGTACTCCACAGTTTCTAAGTCACAATAAAAACTAAATGTTCTTGCTCTAGAAGAATGTTTTTTTCTGGATTCTAAGTTGGTTCAAATTCCTTCTCTGGGTTGCAATAACAGGAGTCTCACAGCATAACAATCCATAAGTATTTTATCAATATGTAAAATAGCCTGTAAAACTCCCTTGGAGAGTTGAAACACTTTATTTCATTATTTTACTCTCTCAAGCTATTTTTATTGTGTTTGTGTTGAAATAAGGAGACCTGGAGACTCGGTGAAGATCACATTTTAAAAACTGATGTCCTACCCGACTGCTTGGTGACCTCAAAGAACCTGGAGAAGAACATGGGCCACTTCTCTCTGGCGTAGTCGACCACCTCTGCCTTCACCAGGTCCGCTTTTTGTCCAGAACTCAGGAAGGTGCTCTGGAATGATTTGTGTCCATTAAAACCTGCAGGAGGATTTGTTTATTCATTGTTTATCATGAGGATCCCAACCTGAGCGTGAGCGGTGTGGATCATCTGAACCAGTTTGGGTTCTGACTTTGCCTCCAGCAGAGAGTTCTTGATGCAGTCCTTCACCGTCTCCTTCACGTTCTCTGGGCGACTGTCTGAGCCGTGCTGGATGTACAAATGCTTGGCAGCGATCTCGATGATGTCGTCCTCCTGTGGAGACATGGATAGGACAAAAAAAAAAAAAAAAAGCTAAGCTAGCAGATGTCCAGCTTAGCTGCTAGACGTCTAAAGAAACGCTTTGAGATGCTTCCTCTGTGTTTTTATAATAACAGCGTCATCAGCGTACATCAAAGTATGAACACTGTGAAGGGATTTGGCAATGTGTTGATGTACGGGGAAACTAAAACTGACCCAAGGATACACCTTTGAGGGACACCTACAGGACATTTTAAGCAGTGAGATTTCATACTGTTTACTAGGACTAAACAAAAAACAAATAAATCAATGATGTATATTGTGATGGACAAGTGATCACTATCAATAGATAGTATGTCAGTTAGAATATTCAATAACTTCATCAAACTCTAATCCAAAACTAAATTAGTAGATGATTATTTCCATAATTGATTCATCTGATTAATTATTTCAGTCCTAGAGAAAAAACAATAAATATGAACGCAAACCCTCATTTCTGTTATTAACAGTGCACTCTGGAAAGAATGGTTAACCTCATCAAAAGCCCCAAAATCAGTATATTATCCATGCCAATGATGAGTGTGTGAAAGCATTACGTTACAACAGAGCCCACCTTTTCGGTCTGGTACTCTCCAAACTTCAGACCGTGGATGATCTGCCTGTAGATGAGGTCAGTGCTGATCTTGTCCTCCTTGCAGTCGTGCCAGGGAGTGAAAACCTCCTTTCGGAAGATGAGACGCCACGGAGCGTGCTGCTCCTGGCCGCCCCTCCTCTTCACCTCCTGCTCACACTGGGAGATGGCGTCCATCACATGCTCCCGGCCGCTCCCCAGGGCCCACACCTTCAGCATGAGTCACCAATAAATCACTAACTAAAATCAATCAAATTTGATCTGCTCAGCACTCATAAAGAGGTGGAAACAAGTTTTTTTAAAGTGGGGACCTCAGAAAACTTAAGGGAAAATTTGAAAAAATAAAAAATTAAATTCTAATAAAAAAAAAAACATGCAAAAACAATACATTAAATATTAATGACAGTTGTAAAACAACAAAAGGAACATTTCTGGCATAAAACCCTAATATACATATGATACGATATGAACAAACTGATTAGCAGCTCTGCTGCCCCAGATTCGTTTACCTTTTCGTACATGGCTACGTAGAGAGAGAAGCCAAACGTGTCATTTAGCTTGATTTTATTGGACACAAGTTGGCAGACTTCTTTGGATGTAGTTGCCGAGTCGACAGGAAGGTTAATGGATCGTCCATCCAGCAGTGCAACAGACACCAACATGGGCTTCTTTGTCTTGGTTGCCTACAAGATAGCAGAGAAATGTCCAATGGAAAGGATTTCCTGAAAATCCTTTACAAATGACACAGCATTTGTAAAAAACATATGAAAATTGATTATCGAGAACTTCTCCAGAAATATGCATCCTTGAGATTATTAATGTCAAAGGAAAACAACTAAAATGAAAGAGAGAGGTAAATGTTTTTAATTATAAAGAAAGTTAGAAATTGTTATGGTTTGCATCTGGAAATGTCACATGCTCATAACACTGGAGAACAAAGAGGACCATACTTTTACTCTCATGGTAGAACAATTAAATTTATCAAAATGAAACCAAGACATGTAGGTGTTATTAATTCAGTGCAGTGCGCAACAAGTGATCATCTGAACACAGCGGTAGTTGATTTGCTGATTTAAACTTCTCCTCTACATGATCTGTCAGAGCTGCCTTTTGTTTTTTTAACTGAACCAAAACGTAGAAATCTGCATCACATCTAAATGTTAAGGTTGTCAAAGTCAAGCTAGCATAGCAAACCTATTTTCTTCTCCCTTGCTAATTTTTTTTCAACATGAAAATGTTTCATTGATGTTATCTAGTTGACAATTAGTATTAAAAACTCTGTGTGTTCTTTTATATGGCATGTGTACATTTAAAATGTAACGCAATATGTTGACAACTTGTCAGCTAAACCAATAGTGTCAGCGAGCAGCTTTTTGCCCTCTAGTAGGGAGCTGAGGGTGGGATGTGGTCTGCGTGATGTTACGTCTCAACGTGTCTATAGATGAATGAAAGCATAAACCCCTCCCTCAATTGGATGTCAGATGATCAACAAACCTAAGTAGATGAACATGGTTCTACTGTACTTAGCAAATTTAGCATTTATTTAATGCTTTGCTAATCACATAGTTCTTTCACCCGTGGAGAACATGAACACCTACACCTGTTTGCTCTTCCTACACTTCAGTTTAACACATCAGTGAGAATCTCACCGAACATACAGCATATTACTGGGAAGGCTCAGAGACATCCCAGTAAGCGAAGGTGAGTAAATTCACAATGTCATCTCAATTCCTCACAAACTTTTACGGGTCAACAGTGAAGACAATCCAGAGAAACGGCATCATGATGTGGTTTGGGAACAGGAAAGCGCTCCATGGTGTCATTAAAATAGAGTCTACTGGTGGAACCTCTCTCCCCTCACTACAGGATATTTATATCAGCCGGGTCACGAAGAGAGCTAAAAACATCAGAGGAAGCACTCATTGTTCTCACTTCTGCCTTCCAGCGGATGTTGCTGACGTAGTGAAGCGAGAATTGACACAAAAAAAAAGCTTTTATCCCCAGACTGTCAGGCTTTCAAACTCAACTTAGTTTAAGTGTTTGAAGTTTTTAATTTTGCGCGACTTTCTACTCTTTTTTTGTTGTTGTTGTTTCAACTGTAATTAAGGGAAATTGTAGAGTACAAATGTCATTGCCGAGTTTGTTCTTGAGTTTAAGAAATAAAGTTATTTCTATTTGTGTTCTTCTCACTGAGTCACAGTCATAAACAACACAGGTGCATTAACTAAGCTTTTCTGAACTGTAGGGCTTTTACTTGATTCACATGCAACTTTGAAATTTGGGACATTTTGAATACAATTCCCTAGTAAATATGTGCGTTTGCACAAAATGTGTTAAATTTTATTTCCAATCACCTTAATATAAAACTTGTAATCTGCATTAAGTTGTTGTTGATGAACAAAAAAAAAACAAAAAAAAAACAACTGATGCAAAATGACAATGATGCAAATGATCGACGTCTTTTTTTATGAATAAAAACAAAACTGTTTAAGGGAAACAGTCAAAAATGCTCTTATATCTAATTTTAGTCATGTAGAGAAGCAAAAATATATTGTTTAAACGTAATACACTTTTAAATCCTCCACAAAATAATAATAAAAAAATATATATATATCAGCACCTGCAGCTCTAGCCAGGCTGGAGGCTCCCCTCTGGCTCCGTTTGACATGGTGCGCCGCAGCCTCTCGGCTAAGTAGGAAGGAAACCCTCCAGGAGCAAAACGGATAAAACTTTGAAGGTACTGACGAGGAAAAAGACAACAGTCAACAAAACATTGTTTTTCACCAGTGGTGACATTTAAAGCTGAGATATCTAACTTTTACAACAACAAACAAATGTGTTTCACATATTAGTTAAAACTGTCACCAGGTTGTCACAGTGTAATATGTTCCTAAAGGTTGAGCTCCTTCACCTCGTCCCAGTGCTGCTGTTACAGTCTGATGAAATGCACCGCTCCCGGTCTTACCGCTGTCAATCAAGCTTGTGTATGCACGGTTAAATGTGCCAATGGCAGAGAAACAACTCACGATGACAGAAAAACAGTTTGTCTGCCAACGTTGGTGAACATGCTAATGTTCATGGCTAGCATTCATGGCTACACTATCAGGAAAAAAAATTTGCATAGTAGAGAGCAAGAGAGAGGTGAATTGCCAGCGCAAAGACCCTCCTCTTGGCTCTTATTTATTGTTTCGGACTGAGTGGAGTATTTAGGACTACTCGTATTCCTTACTTTTAAAAAGCGCTCACTGGGAGGAAACACGCCCAGGCAGAGGGAAAGCAGGATCCATCCACGGAAGTAGCTGTTCCTGTTGTTGTTTTCATGAAGCTGTTTGCAGATCTGACAGTAAATCTCATCTCTGTGTTGGGGACACACACATTAGTTTTATCAGTTTTCCAGAACGAGCAACTTCAGTCAGACATCCTGCGACGCTAAAGGCAAACAGCTGGAACCTCAGGTCAGGCCTGATGATGCCGTATCCCACGATGTAGTGGACTTTTTCAAGAGACGACAGGGGCCTGTCCAGGGTGGGCCCTTCTCCGATCATGGCATCACTGTCCTCACTCACAGTCTGCAGTGTGGTGGGCTTGGACACCTCCGTCAGGTCATCGGACTGAAAGAAACGGAGATGAAAAAGGAGTTAGCGCGTCCATGTCGACCGTCGGATGACGCGCCTCACCTTCTGGCCTCACCTCCTCCATGATGATGGAGGGCTTTCTCATGTTCGACACCGGCCGTACGTTCACACTTCCTTTACCGGGAAGGACTTTTTTGTTTCTGGACAGCAGGTCGGTGAACGTGGATCCCTTTCTCGTTCGCGGGCTGCCTTCAGGCGCGGTGTACGACCTCAGGTTTGGAACCGTGTCAGTGGGCACTGTGGAGGGCTTCCTGTTTTTTGACAGGAGGTCTGTGAAGATCGATCCCTTTCTCTTCTGGTCCGGCTCCTCTGCGATGACAGCGGGTTCTGCCTCTTTGTTTTTCCTCAACACTCTCTGAAAACGAGCAAATGTCAAATATTTATTTGAACATTAGCCATTTTGTAGAACAACCAAGTAACTATAATACCCTCAGTTGCTATCCATATCAAATAGGACTTAAACAAAATTTGATTTCATATTTTAACACCTTGAAATTGGGCCTCTGTCTCCTTAAAAGCTCCTGCTCTTTCTGAAACTCCACCTTCAGGAAGCCATCACAACATGGCTCCTCTATTAACCCTTCAACAGGGTTTTCACCAGCATTTCACTGAGAAATAACTCCTGTAATGAGGTCGGCAGATGTGCAGATTCACCAGGTGTTTGCTAATTGACACTGGCTAGTCTGAAGGAGCTCAGAGGGCGAATCACAGAGGGCTGCTCTGTGAAGCAGAAGCTTGGAAACTGCAACGCTCAGAATGAGTTGAGGCCCTAATAAGGTGTTGCTAGGGCAACCCAGGTGTTTTGGACAGCTGAATGGTTGCCACGGAGATTAAAGGATTTCTCAAACATTGGTGAACACTTCAGGAATGTTTTTGATAAAATAACATGATAAACTTTACCTAATACTGCCCCTTTAAAAGAAGCAAAACATTTCCAAATTCTTCGCCTTCCTGTGGGGAAACGTACCTGATCCAGGCCCACCATGTGGCTCAGACGTCTATCCTGCCTGGAGAGCAGGTCCTGGGGAACATAGCGATCCCGGATGGCGCTCCCCTGCTGAAGCCTGCTCATTCTCTTTGGCTCGGGAAGATCTCCCAGAAATCTCAGAATGATCCACCACACCGTCAGCGAAGCCTGACGAAAACACGACAAACTTCAGCGACCGGTTAACAGGCTGAAACAAGTGAACAACGGATGTTTCAGAGCAGCACCAGAACATCTCCTTCGTCCTCGTGGTACAGCAGCGGCTGCTGAAGCCTCTGCCGGATGTGTGTGGGCGTGGCCGCCCCCTGGAAGTGAATGGAGGCGAATTTGGAGAACGAGTACTGATCCAGGTCTTCGTAGTCCTCCTCGGGAAGCTCGTCTTCCACTGGAATCTCGTCGATGTCTATCTCCTCGATTATGGTCCGTTTTCCTTCAATGTTCTGCAAAAAAAACAACACGTGAATCGTGATCAAATGGATCCGCCTTGGCTTGAGAAGAGAGAAACCATGCGAGCGTCGAGAGTCTGAACCTCAAATCCGACGGGAGCCTGGCCCTCCTGCCCTCCGACCACCATGTTGGGCAGGAAGCCGAAGATGTCGTCCACCATCTCCTGGTCGCTCATGTTGGCAGCCTGCGCTCTGGCCTCCGTCTCTCTCTTCTGCCTCAGCACTTCTTCCAAGTGCTTCTGTTTGGCCAAAATGGCTCGCTGTTCTTCTTCCCTCTCTTTAGCAGAGAGGTGCATCTAAAAGAAAGGGTGGCACAGGATTAACAACCTGAGAGAGAAACATCGCCCTTTTCAGTTAAATTTCTAAAGCCAGCACAGATTGACAGGGATGGAACGTCAATATCGCTTTAAATGATTCTCATAAAGGGAGAATCATGATGTTTCAGACCTTCAATTCAGATGGGCCTTTCTGTGTCAGATGTCAGTGTTGGACCAATGTCTTCTTGGATTTTCATTGGATACTTCAGTTTAACATACAGACAAAGTTCTTAGACTTATTGAAAAGACAATTATACCATTCAGGCTAAAATATTTGCTTCAACATCCCAAGTTGTACCACATTCACAAGCTTCTTTTAACCAACCATGGACCTCTTGCATAATTCTGTTGGATATTTATCTCTTCTGTCTACAGAATTGGTGGAGTTGATTTAGGATTGTGTTTTTTTTTTTTTTTTTTTTTTTTTTACCACAGACTCAATATTAAGTCGGGCTGTTTGAATTAAAATTTTTGTTACATCCACTCCAAAAGCAGCAACAGACCAAAACACTTAATTCTGTCCACGTTTTAGCCATCTTGCTGTCGATTTGAGCGCATTAAAGTTGAAGAATTTTGAGGTCACCTTTCCTTCTATGTGTGTCAATAGAAATGTTCCCAGATTTCAAAACTTTGACTGACGCAGTGTTTGTAATTCCAGTGCAGAGCAGGAAATCAAAAACCCTGAGACATTTCATTATAATTTCATTGTCCTGCTTCTTCTTCCCTGCAAGCAGATAAAGTTCGGGTTCTTAAACTTGAGCTTACGTCTCTCTTCATCTTTCCGATGCGTCTTCTTGCCAGCATGCCTCTGGTGTGCGCCTGCAGCAGGATCACTGCATTTCTCTTGCGCTTCCACTCCTTCCTGGCCAAGTAACCTCTGACCTGCGTCTGCAGGACCAGCGCAGCGACCCGCTGCCTCTTGTAGTTGAGGTAGATGTGACGGGAGCGGGTGATAGCCTGCAGCCTCGCGAAGCCCAGCTGCACCTGAAACCAGAGCATGACTGGAGGTTTAACGGACGCTGCATGGCATCGAATACATCGGTTATTAATAACTTTTCAGAAAGCAACCCACCACTCTGTACAGCTTCCTGCCTTTGTAGCCTCTCCAGTGTTTCTGAATGACGAGGGCAGCCGACCTTTTCCTCACAAATTCTTTCCTTTAGAGGGCATGAAGCAAAGTACAACTGCAATCAGGCCCAATTAGGCCCATCACAAAAAACTTTGCATTATAAATTGACCCAGTAATTATTGTGATAAACGATAATATTGTTGCTGTGAGACATTTTCAAGCAAATAAGAATGTTTGGGGTTTTTTGGGTTTTGTTTTTCTTTTTTTTTACAAAATCCAAGTTTAACCCTGGAACTGCAAAATATTATAAATATTCAAAATAAAACACAACAATCAAAAACAATAAAAAAAAAGAAAAAATGAAATAAAACCGAAACCATAATTAAAACTGATCACGACGTCTCTATAAAACAAAGATATTAATCATCAGAAGAGAGTGCATTGAGCTCATTTTCATTTATCATGCGATTAATTGGTTAATTGCTTATTGCAACAGGCTACAAAATAATAAACATGCACACATACTCAATAGAAAACCATCTGTTCGGATTTCTCTCATACCTGAATTTGTATCCTCTCAGGACTTTTTGGATCAGAAGAGCTTTTACATTCAACTCCTTTATTCGCTCCAGTTCCAGCGTGGTGTCATGGAAATCCTATGAGAAAACAGCAACATTTTTCATATTTTTATCTACCTATATATAAATATATATAAAACATTTTTATACTATTAAAATCACACGTACAGCTCTGGAAAAAATGAAGACTCCATTGTACTGAACCCCATTGAAAACCTCCTTGTTATTCCATCAAATATTGATTTCTGAACTCTTCCTGAGTTAAAACATTACTAGTGTTGTGCTTAAATCAATATGAACTTGTTTCCTTTGCATTATTTGAGGTCTGGAAGTTCTGCATTTGTTTCATTGTTTTGAGCATTTCTCATTTTCTGCAAATAAATACTAAAGTTTTGCTTGGAGTTTCAGAGACACGTTGTTAGTAGTTCATAGAATAAAAGGACAATTTTACTCAAATACATATCTATACAAAGTACAATCAGAAAAAAACAATAATTTTAAGTGGTCTCTTTATTTTTTCCAGAGTTGTATTCTGGTCAACAGAGTTAGAGATAGGGTGGAAAAGTTATGATAATTCTAAGGACCCTTGACCACAGGGGCCCACACAATTTTTCTTTTTTTTTTTTTTTTTTACAGAAAGGCCATTGACACACCCACAGTGTCAATGACCACGGTGGGTGAAGCCAGGTGACCAAAACAGAAGTATTCTGCACCAATTAAACAATGTTTTTAAAGTTTTTTGACTTAAAATTTGAAAAATTAGATTCTTAGTTTACTGAAATAACTTGTTAAACTAAACCCACGCAAACTTAAAGATTCACCTTGAGGAAAATCTTTGTCTTGCCCGTCTTCCAGTCGCCTTCTCCAGCAAGGACTCTCTTACAGATGCTCTCACAGCAAGTCTCCTGGCTTTCCTGATTCACAGCACAAACATGGTCTTGTATTAAAAGGTGAAACGGGTCGAGTGGAGAATTTCAACATGGCCCAACTCACGGTTTTGGGGTCACAGACGGAGGTCCTCAGAAGGACACGGTAGCGATCCAGGAACTCGCTGAAGGTGTACCGGACCGGGTAGCCGGCCTTCCGAATCTTGATGGTCTCCATCATGCCGGAGTAACGCAGCTGCCGTATGCACAGCTCTCTGTCAAACAGCTGACACAACAGATTTGTTTTACTAACAGTGAAGGGAACGGGTCGGTTACCGCCGCAGAGGTCCCTCCGGGTCCAGGCTCGGCTCACCATGGGCTTCTTGAAGTCATTGGGTTTGATGCAGCGGATGAAGTAAGGCTGACACACGGTCAGGGTCTTCATGAGGGAATCCAGGGACTGACGGAACTGGCCGGACAGAGTCGGAACGCGCTTCTTGCCGTCGGAGGCTTGCTGAGAGGCCAACAGCAAAGGTTGGACATGTGAAAATGAGCTTCATGCTAAAGGAGCATTGCTACTTTTAATTGGCAGTTTTGTTTCTTTTTTTTTTACCCGCAGGCTGTTTTTGGGCGTGTTGATGATCAGCTTGGGGTTGACGCTCTTGACTGCGGTGGAGTTGGATGTCAAATCGGCGTTGAAGGCCTGTTTGAGGAGCTTGTTGGTTGACGTCTCCACCAGCTGGATCAGGTCCGAACTCAGAGTGTCACGGTTCTTCTCCAGAAAACCTAGAAGGTGGGACGGTAAAACCGCAGCGCAGGTTATACAGATATAAAACATAGAGATAAAGTTTATATCTGGTGTTGACCTCTTTCTGCTGTTCCAGTAATTAATGACAACAACATATGAAAAAAAAGAATGTGCTTGTCAGACATTTCTGTCATTTCATTTCTCAAAAAGGTTTGAAGAGACGCAAAACAAACATCCTGCATTGTAATTACACAAGGCAAGTTTTTTCAGGACAAAACAAATGGCCAAATTTTTACACTGTCAAAGAATAACTATTCCTAAGTGAGTCATTAAAATAAACCCAGTAGTAGTACAAATAAGTTTCTTTTGTATTTGATGAAAGTAAGTCAAAATAATTAAGAAACTGCAACAAAAATAAAACATATGATGTGTATCTCATTGTTTCGTGAATGTGCTGTTATAGAAGTTCAACATGATGCACAGAGATAAATACTTGCTAGCATGGCTAAAAGCAGTTAGCAGATCTCTTAGGTGGTTTTCGTATCGGTGTTTTATCCGCTGTGGATAATTTTTCAAATGGACTTTCTGAGCAGTACCTTTCGAGTCATAGTATACCACTCCTGCAAAGTGCTGTATCCCAAACTGGGTCTCAAAGTTGTTTTTGGGAGGGATGTAGACTTCGCCTTTGTTGTGAAACTGATTCAGTTTCTGGAGCATGGAGGCATCTGTGCCCTGAAAAACGAACCCCGCCCCCGAAAAAACATTAAAGCCTTTTTAGTGTCGGCTGCATCCAGAGGTTTTTAGAGAACAGCGAGGCGAGCACAGACCTTCGGGAAGTTGCTCTCCTCGTCGACAAGAGCCAACACGTTCATGGGCTTGTTGGCCAGCGTGTCCAGAGTGCGCTGGTTGTCCAGGTAGTCGATGTGCTGCCAGACAATGCCCTCGCGGGCGTACTCCTCCTGCTCCAGCTTGAAGACGTGCTTGACGAAGAACTGCTGCAGCTGCTCGTTGGCGAAGTTGATGCAGAGCTGCTCGAAGCTGCCGGAAGGAAACGCACAAACATTTCAAAAACATTTTGGGAAGTTTAGACATTTCTTTCCCAAATGGTGCCAGATGAGTTTCAACTGGATGCTCCAATAAGATCCGACGCTAAAAGAAGGTAAGAAACCAAAACCCTCATTTGATTTCAATTAATTTCAAGAAGGCAGCAGGATTTTCTCTAGAGATCCAGCAGCAACCAAGCTAAAACATTCGGGGTAGACATTGACCTGTTGTTGTCGAAGTTCTCAAAACCAAAGATGTCCAGCAGGCCAATCGACTGTCGAACTGTGTCCTCATCATCGGGCGGCTTGTAAATGGCGTCATTAATTTTTGTCACCACCCAGATGAAAAGTTTGCCATATATAGCCTGGAAAGACAAACAACACAAAGATTCATTTAGTTATTGGTCCAGATACAGACTTTGGCTTTTACTCAATGTAACCGAGGAGAAATGTATTTAAAACGAACTTGGAAGAAAAATGATGCTTGCAGCTGGGAGGAAGGTTATGAATTCAAAGGAAATTTATGAAATGAAGAAAATTACTCTTTGGATGAGTTTATGTATGGAAGGACTTATTAGCATTTGGAAGAAATGGGCATTACTTGTCCCTAAACCAAGTATAATGAAGGTTCAAAATTATTTAAAAAAAATAGAAAGATGATTGTTTTTTTCTTCAACCTTTTTGGTGTGGACTTCATTTTATTTATTTATTTTTTTTGTCTTATTGTCATCCTTTTAGCAAACTTCCAACTCCATCACATTCCAACAGTATATGCTGTGCCCCTTCACTGTGTTTGCATTAGTTGGTTTCATTTGTACACTTTCGATGCGTAATTTTAAAAAAGCAGATTGTTTTGAATTGCCTTTGCCTCAAGAAATGCTTTCATGTTTGAGCTATTTTGAGAAAATCCGACACTTATGTTAAAGTGAATGAGCTACACTCTGCTTGCGTGCTATATACTCATCTCCTGAAATGGCCCAGTCACAGTCCAGACCTAACTCCGAATGGACATCTGTAGCAAAACTCGAAAGCTGATGACTAGATTCTCATCATTCACTCTGACCAAGGCAGAAGCATTTCCTACATACTTTCACAACAACCCACCGCTGTGTAGTGGGTCGATGACAGAAAACACAAATAAAAATAAAAAAATTCCTCATGTTGCTGGTGGAGGCAGGTAGAAAAACGAGGAAGTCGCCGTTACCTTGACAAAGGCGTCCCTGCCGTCCAGAGCCTGGTCAGAGTTCAGAGGTTTGTTGACGGTGTCCCTGGCGGTGGTGACGGCACGCTCAGTCAGACACTTCTCCAGCGCTGCAGAATCCACCTGAGGACGCCACGACACGCATTCAGAAAAGGTCTCAGCGGCGTCAGCTGAGGAAAAACTTCACCTGCCTCCAAAAGCTGGCTGGCCATGCTGAAGTGGGAAGATTTGGCGACGTTGCAGCCTTCCAGGTTGCTCGTTATGATGCCTGAAACCAAGCGGAGAACTTGAGCCCAGGAGAGCGGAAAAGAGAAAAAAGAACTAAACTGGAAGATTTTGAGAAATGCATGATGTCTTACTTTCAAACTCCACATTGCCCAGGTGGAGGATGGCGGCCAGCAGCTTGGAGATCTCCCAGGAGTCGGCCTCGGTGAACGTGAGGATCTTCAGGGCCGATCGGAAGTGAGCGTACTCCTTCACATCATCTCGTCCTTCGCAGCTGGTGCATTTGCCCTGGGAAAGAACACGCGTTACTTTCGACTCGAGATCCTTTTCTATGCGTGCCTGAGGACGGATCAGAACCGCACCATAGTCAGGTATTTGTACTCTGCAGCTGTTCCGAGGGAAAGAATCTTCTTCTGGTCTGGAGCCATGCCCATCAGCATGTAGTAAAAGATGTGGTAGTTCCTTTCCTCGGGGGCCTGTTGGTGAACCGGAACGCTTTTTAGTCCAACACAAACTGACTCAAACCTCCTCATCACACCAGGAGTCCCCCACCCACCTGACGACACACTCTGGACTTCTCCAGCAGATACTGCTCCACCCGTGCCCCCTCGATGGCCCCGCCCTTGGTGAAGCTTATGTCGATGTACTTCCCGAATCGGCTGGAGTTGTCATTGCGAACCGTTTTGGCGTTCCCGAAGGCTGAGAGGAAAAAAAAATAAAGATTAAAAATGTAAAATCGGACAAGAAGAGTGAGGGCAGACCTGCGTTAGAAGCGTTTTCCCCTCGTTACTGACCTTCCAGAATGGGGTTGGCCTCCAGGATCTGCTGCTCGATCCACGAGTGCTGGCCGCTGACCGCAGCCAAGAACTGCAGCATCAGCTTGGTGCTCTCAGTTTTCCCTGCTCCGGACTCTCCGCTGGTTGGAGAGGTGCCAGGAATTACTCTTGAGTCACTCCCAAATGACTGTTGTATTTCATATATACATACATGTTTAATTTTTTTTTGTAAATCATATTCTGAACTGGAGATGCACCGATCCGATATTAACGTGTCATTAAAAAAAAAAAAGTTTTTCAAATTTTTTTGCCTTAACATGAAACAGTCACTTTTATTTTGAAAATGGAACTTATATGATCGCAAAAAATAAAAGTGAAAAATCAAACCCAGTGCTAAGAAAAGTGTTTGCCCTCTTTGTAATTTCTCTTTTTTTTTGCTATTCATCACACGTAACTATTTCAGATCAATCTAATTTCAATTAGGCCTGTCGACGCGTGTGACTAATATAAAAGGTTTAATGCCTCTATATAACATATCACATAATACAAATTAATCAAATGACCTATTTTGACCCAAAAGCTTCTCCTTTTGTGCTTGTTGCTTCAACAAATTCTTTCAAAATGTCTTGCTGAAAGTGAAATAGCATTTTCCCACCATTATTAAGGAATTATTGATCAAAAACATGCTTCTATCCTTTGCTTTGAAGACACTTGTAAGTCAGTTTTGTCTTGTTTCAACTGTACCAGGATATTTGCATTAGAAACTAAACCAAAAATACTTTTGGTATTTTTGCAGTGTACACTTTTAGACACTTTCTTTTTTTTTTTTTGGTGGCATTCTTTAACGTAATTAAACTGTCAAAACGAGAAGCTACAGGCACGCCTTCAACTTTATTAATGTTTCTTTCATGTGAAAGATTTCACATGGAAGAAGTGACTTCTGGAATAACAAAAATAAAATTACGGCTTAGCGTTTCCTGGAGCCCACCTGATGACGCAGCACTGGTTCTTCTTGTTGCGCCTCATGTTGAAAAAGCAGGTGTCTGCGATGGCGAACACGTGGGGGGGCAGCTCGCCCAGACGCCTGTCTGTGTACATGTGCACCTGCTCTGTGGTGTAGATTGGCAGCAGCTGGTATGGGTTCACTGCCACCAGAATGGAGCCTGTGTACGTCTGAAAACACACACACACACACACACACACACACACACACACACACACACACACACACACACACACACACACACAGAGAGATGTTTGCCGTTACACACAATTTTGTGAGCGTGTTTTGTGTTTTCATGAGTATAAAGGCGTCACAGTGGAGGAAAAGCAGACAGATGACCGGCTTCGGTCACGGCCACAGCGCTTCAGGCGCGTCGACCGCTGGGTGTAAACATCTGAGTTTGACTCGGAGACGCCCGTAAAAACCGACGGCCGTCATGTGATTCAGTGGAGGATGGTGAAGCATTTGTTTGTAAATAAATAACTAGCAACATTTCAAAGTGTTCTGTATTAGGAAAAGAAGGGAACGTTTGTTTCAGATTTAATGTCTAAAAACCATCGCAAAACAACTGTGTAACATGATCTTTTAAATCTATTTAAATTAAATTTTTCTAGTAGACTTTTGAGATTTGAATGATTTCTCAATTTCCACTAGCTCTGCGGAGGCTCTGCGATGCACCGATCCGATATTAACGTGCGTCAGTCCTGATACTGAAAAAAAATTCTACATGGGGTATCGGTGACAGTAGACAATCCAAAAGAGCAGATCTATACAGTCTAATTCTACGCTTTGTGCTCTTAGTGATGCCATGTTTTGTCTTATTTTACATTGTTTAGAATTCCTAATTGCACTTTCTGGACCATTTGAAGGAAGGTTTGCAGCAGTTTATTTTTCTACATGTTTCACCAAAATAGTCAACCTTTTGTTTTTGCCAGATTCTTTATTTTCCCTTGGCTGTTCTACTCCTAATTGCACTGACTGAATAAATTAAAGCAGTTTTGACATGTTTGGCCGAGCTTGTGAAGCTGTTGGTGTATTTAAATGTGTCTGTTGTCAAATAAATGAGAAACTCTACATTTAAAGAAACATCTCGAATCAATTCAGCACCGTTTTCCTGCATCGTATCATATCAGCCGATACTAAAACTCAGATATCGATATCAGAAGTAAAAAAGAACAAGTGCATGAAACATTATTCACACTCCAAATATTCGTTTTTCCTGCATATTAGGAAAAGTATGTAATTAATAAGTACTTTATAATCTTTAATAGAGCGGTAAATCTCTGTTTATTATTCAGCGATGGCATCTCAAGGTTTCTCATAGCTCAGTGACTGATTTACTGCTGCTCTTTTTCTGATCCTAACTATTTTCTGTCAAGGAACCAAAGCAGCGACTACGGCTTCATCATTCACTTACATTACTACACTAAAGTCTTAAATCATCCGTCATGTTTTTATCGTTTTCTGTTGACGAGCCACACCTTCATGTGTTCCTGCAACGTGACATTAGTCAGAATCTCCATCCGCCTTGTGAGGGTCTTTGATTTTGTTTTCTCTTTCAACTCATTTTCAGCCAAATTTTTGACTTTCAGAGCGTTTCAGTTTAAGCTTCAACTTTGACCTGTGAAGCTCTGAACTCCAGGAAAGAACCAGCACTGTGTGGCACGCAGCAGTCAGATGGATGAGGCTTTGTGATCTTAGGATTTTTACCTCCACCTATGGTTGGAACTAGATAATTACACAGACTGCATAAATAGACACTGTTTTGCTCTATGGCATTAAACGTCTGATTTCTTTTTCAGCTCTGCTGGGATTATTATAATTTTCTAAAGGCCAGAATAATGAGAAATTTCTTTCAACTTGAAGAAGCTTACAGATAATCCCTCTGTATTTGGTAGCTTTCCCTTTGAACTGTATCCCTCGATCATGTACTTGTTTTTTTTCTTCTAAGCCCACTTAAAAAAAAAAAAAAAGTTATGATTAAAATTAATCACTTTGAGTGACCACAGTAAATCTTGTCAAACATTAAAGCTGCAGTATGCAACTCTTCTAATCAATTCAATTAAAAACCCAACCCAGCTTTATTTATGGTTCCTTTTCCTTCCTTTGGTTTCGTTCCAGAGACGTTTCAGACCCAAAACCCATCTCTTTCCAGAGCAGCATGACGAGCTGCAGGCTGGTTGTAGTTATATGTGTTTGTTTGAACAGATGAAAATGGGGCCTGAAGGCGTTTCAAAGTGGTCACCCAAAGATGAACAAGACTCGCCTTTTTTTTTCTTTTTTTTCCATGATGTCTCAGAAAGAATGAGGTGTGCTTTGAAAAACAGCCACAGCTGCGCCTCCGAGTAAATACAATGTTGTGAAATAACCAATGCTAGGCTTTCCCAAACTGTAATCGGTCATTTTCGAACATGTAAAATGGATATGTATTATGTCTAGCTGAACATTCAGCTTCAGTGCCTGCTTAATGCACATTTAATAAATTAGCATTGTTGTTTGATTGGTCTGATGTGGCATTCTAATCTTAAATATCATGTTTCCATTAGAATTTTTTTTAAATGTTTTTAACTGGAATAGAGGCCTGAAAAACAGCAGTCTGTGTGGAATCAATCAATATACAGATATAAAAAGCGTTTCCTTGGTGAGTAATTCAAATAAACTCTCTAGTCTTTACGACTCTCCACGCGCAGCTGACGCAGAAAAGCGCAGGTCCGGTTCACCTGACGACACCGCCTTGTTGGTCTCCATGGAGACGAACAGCTCCGCGATAAATCCGGCGGTCAAAGTCTGAAGCGGAGCCGCGTCGCTCGCCGAGTCCAGGCAGCGTTCCCAGCGGCCGGTTATGGGCGTCGTAAACCTGGGCGGACTCCCGGGAACAGAAACTTACGTAGATGATGCCCTCTTTGTGGCGGACCAGCAGGTTCCTGAGCAGCCCGGCCTCGTTCAGGTCGCCCAGCATTATCATGTCGTCCACGCCTTTCACCGCGCTGGGGTGCATGGGGCGGATGCTGCCCTGGGTCTTCTTGTTAATCTTGTGCTCCTGCATCCAAACGACCATTAGTCAACTCAGAGGGGGATTAAACGCGGGTTTTGACGGGTTTTACAGGTGTGCTACCTTTCCTTCATCGTCGAGGAGCTGAAGCTGCCCGGTGTCGGTGACTGTGACCTCGGCCCCGATAGGGACTCCGCTGCCGGAGTCCACCCAAACGAAATCCCCCTGATTGGACAAACGACCAACAGTTTACGCTCGAGGTGACCTTTCATGGTGCGTTTGAGGTTTATACAAATGTGCAGGAAGAAGTGCGATTCAGGAGTCGTACCTTACTTAAATGCAGCATGGCAGCAATTTAGTAAGTCTGAAAGGAAAAATAAATACGGTGTCAGGCAGAGATAGATACATAGAGTTTATTACACAGCGATAAAAGAATAAAAAGTAGGCTGCGTCAGAAATGGCATCTAACCATTCAGGAGCAATCATACCAATGTCTCCAGAGTACAGATGAGTATTTTACGGCACTATATTTAACATTCGTCAACAAAAGAAAAATTCTATTATTAGACTCGTTTACACGACAAATAAATTTGTGCATCAACTTTCTTAAAACAGCCATTAAAGTGTTGACACGAGCCGATATAAACAGTTCACAATGCAGGCTACAGCGGAACAGCTGAGCCTGTTCGTTCATTTTATTTTTTAAATTCATTTCCACAAAACAAAACCCCTCAAATTTTGAAAAGTCTGAAATTTTGGAGACAAAAACATTTGACATTTTCGAGTTTTAAAAGTCGACAATTTGCGAGAACACAAAAAATATTCGACTTTTCAAACTCAAAATGTTCAGTTTTTTGGGGTGGAACGTTCTCTCTTTTTATTCCATCTGCAGATTTGCCATCGGAGCCGTTTTATAAGTTTCATCTTACATAATCCTGAACGAAAACATTTTTTTTTTTAGAATAGGACGCCAGTAAAACATCACATCGACTTCTGTGGTATTTTTCTCATGAGACATTTTTTTTTTCCAACGCCGATTCTTGAGCTCTTACCTGACAGCAGGTCCGGGGGTCCGAGGCCTTCCTCTCAGCTCAGGGATCGTTTCCTTGAATGGCTCCGGAGCAGGAACTTTCCCCCAGCATTGACTCATTTTATGGCTCTTTGACTTTGCTCCTACAATCGCCAGCAGCTACAAAATGGGCATCTGCTTTTTGTTTTTTAATTATTATTATTATTATCAAAAAGGAATGTGTTTTAAAAAAATCAATAACTGAAGAGAATTTATGTTTGTTAAAAAAAAGAAGAAAAAAAAAGCTAAAAGAAATTTGACGTGTGGCATGACAGTGCGAGGAACAATAAAGATAAGGAAGCTATTTTAATGGTTGGACGGTAAATGTGCTCTGACTCCCCTGTTACACAAAAAGCTCCACAACATGGAGCCATAGAAAGTGCTGGAAGGAAGAAGGCAGTCCCCTTAATGACTGGCCCATTATCACAGTTGTTCTGGGTCAAACACTGATAAATGTGTTATGATTTAAAAAATAAAAAAAAAGTACTTATCTATAAAGGTTAATGACACTCAGGAGATTACTAGCTCTTTATCCGCTCCCTTTAGGCTTGGGCCTGTTTCACTGGGAAGGTGATTCGTTTAACAACCAGGTGAACCACCTGCTCAGACCAAACACATCCATGAAAATCGATAGTCAAGCAGTGGACACTTCGATTAGTCTTGTTTTTGTCTTCTAATACGGCTGGAGTAAGGAACGGGTTTGCCATGAGATTTCCAGGCTGCTCCACCAACATGTGAGAGTTTAGTCAGATGTTTCTGCTCAAAATCTGAATTTTATGGCTGATGTCATGAACTGTTACTTCATCTCATTTATGCATGTTCTTTCCTCATGTCAAAAGATCCCTCTCCCATAAAAACATGATCAGGCTCTCCCAGCCCACTCACACTACAGTTGAGATTGTGTTGAGGCTGAAACGACTGATCGGATTAATCGATGATCAAACAGTCAACTATTGAGCAACCGATTGTCAACTGGAGTAAAAAAAACATTAAATACACCACACACACACATATATATATATATATATATATCAACTACAAATGACCAAGCATTTACTAAAGAAGTGTCACTATTGCATTAAAAAAGGATTTGATTTGTTAATTTGGATTTTTTTTTATATGCATTTTAAATTTTGTATTTAAAAGGCCTGAGTAGTTAAATGAAACAGAAAGTGCTAATTTTATTAATCCGATTAATAATCAAGAGTAACGATTACTAAACTAATAGTTTGTTGCAGGCCTAGCTTGCGTTCTTCAAAATAGCTGTGCATGCATGGAGCCGGCTGCAGGAAGTTCACTGTCCTCTTCCTGTTGGCTTTGCTTCCCCAAGATGTCAGAAAAGGAATCCGCGTCCTTGAGGTAAGCCTCCATTTAACTAAAACATTTTGGAATTATTGATCCAGACATACAATGAAAAACATTAATTGCTTCGATAGGTGACAAATACTACCTAAAGTGAGTTGAATTGATTCCACAGAAATGTCGCTTTAAGTATCTTTACTATAATTACACAGACAAAAACAATGTACAATGACTAGATATTTTCAAGCCCGCTTCATCCTGCGACTCTGCAACGGTTACACTCTGCAGCAATGACGCAGCTTAACACACACACGCACAACACGAACTGTTTCGAGTACAAAAACTTGAAAAGAACCAAGTCAATGAAAAACCAAAAGCACATTTACAGTGATTTACATGAAGTCAGTCTGCTGTTGTGAGAGCACAAGTCCAGTTAGTCTCTCTTCTTCTGTTTCAAACACCGCACCGTCTCAAACCAAATCAACGCCACCTCTAAACGGTGGGACATCTATTCATCTTAAAGTGGATTAAAGATGGCAGTTCGACGTTTTTTGCATTCTCACTTTCAAAACTAAGGACATTCTTTGAGGATTTTTTTTTTACTATAAAAAAGTATTTTCAACATGCCACATTAAGGTTTTTAACCCACACAAGTATTGTTATTTTGATTTGGAAATTACAACTAAACACGGGGCTGATAAAAAAAAAAAAAAAAGGGTAACTGTTTTACCATCAAATGAAATATATGTATATATACGTGTATATATATATTTTTAAAAAATTAGCCATAAGAAAAAAGATAAACGTAGTGATTTGAAATGTGGGACTGCTTACACATTTCTACGTCCAATTCTTCTACACTAACAAAATGAAGGCACAGACTGAGCACAGCCAAGATTAATCTGAATAAATTGTTGGCTAAAAGTAAAATCTGAGGAGATGAACTCAAGATTCACAGCATCTGCATGCCAATAATCACAGATACATAGGAAGCCATCTTTGAACTGTCCTTATGGAAGAGGCAGAAACTAATAATAAAACGAGCCTCGAGAGTCTTTAAAGTAAATCCGTTGTGGGTTTTGTTTTGTTTTTGTTTGTCCCCACTAACTAATCCCAGATTGCTTCATACTCGGTATGTTCACTGTGTCTTTAAGAGAACGCTGTCCGGGTCAGCTTCTCCGATCTCTGAAGCCTCCCCGGTCAGCTCCTCTGACCGGGGAGGCTAGGAAGGGCGCGTGCGATTGTATGCAGCAAATCATAGCACCAGAATTCAGAACGGCTCCTTCGACCCGCCGCACTTCCCTCCTTGGAAACGGGGCGGCGGTCGTCGAGGGACTCAACCTCACGCCCGTTCTTTGCGCTTCAGTTTGGACGATTTCTTGACGGTGCCGTTCTTGTTGAGTAGCTTCAAAACTTTCTCCTTGTGGTCGAGAACCTTCATCATGGTGTCTCTGGCCTCAGTCACTTGGTCCATGACCAGCTTACAGCGCTGCATGTTGCCCTGGGGACGCAAAAATTTGAGATACAGTTTACCTGGAGTGATTCGTTTTGGCTGCTGAAACATGCTAAGTAGTGAGAGGCTATTTTAGGCTTGGATAACTTTGCCAATATTCTGAATCCTTTTAGCATAACTTGCATACAACAATAGTCTCTTCCAGTGTCCAATCAGTTTAATTTTTTGAAGCAAATATGAACCCCCAGTGGGTCCAGATCAGTGGTTTTGTCGTTCGTCGCTGTTTGCAGATGTTGCTTGTGCAGGAAGACAAACTTTTTGGCTTTAGACTTTTGCATGTCCAAATAAAAAAAAAACCTAACAGGCTCTCTAATGATTCAGCATAAGTAATAAAACTCTAATTTGTACACTCCTGGACCCAATACAAACACTAAAATAAGGGGTGTGGCAGAATATTATGTTCCACAAAATGAGTTTCTCATGGTGTAATTCAGGCAGCTGGATAAACAGTGGAAATTAGAGAGGCTTTACTTCCAAGCAGAATCTACATGTCTGAACAAGTCAGAGCGAAACATCCAAATGTGACTGGAAACAGAGAACTAAATGTGACAGCTTAATTAAAAAAAGCATTTAAAATGTGTTGTGCTCTTAAAAGCCAAAAATGATTCCAACGACGTGTTTAACTTGGCAACTGGTCGTCAATAAATCTTGACAACTAACAAACTGAGTAAGAAATACCCCAAAGCACAAAATGCCTACGCTGACATGTCCTGTTTTTGCTCAATGTGACCACAAGTAGAATTTTAAATGAAAATATCTCCAAGCTGCTCGTAGTACCTGAATGAGCTCGTTGATTCGGTGCAGGTCATCGTCGGAGCCTGCTCTCTTCTTTGGAATAAGGCCCTCTTGGAGGGTGGAGAGGCGGCTGTACACATCGTGCTCCAAACTCGACTACAGACACAAACAGAGAAACAAAAATATAATTTAAAGACCTTTTAGTTGGTTCCCCAATTATGAGTTTTTGGACAATTCTAAGTAGCAGTAATGATGAAAGACTTTTGAAATGATACAAGCTATTTCCTATAACTATAACATTTGGTAAAAACAATTTTATTGCTCGCATAAAACGACTAGTTTTTCCCCCCCCCCTGGAATTAAAATTTGTGGTGCAGATGCACTTTATGAACAACTTACTGAACAAATGTTAACACGTGGCGGTCACTCACCAGCTGCCTGAGCTGTGCCGCACACAGGTGAATCTTCCAGCCTTGTGCCCTGCATGCCACTCCTCTCTGATTGGCCATGTCCTGCAAGCTGCACTTCTTCTCCTCTGAAGTGGGAGAAAAATTACCTTCAGTCTGAACTGGTTTCATAAAACTACATTAGAGCAGCTCAATCAGTTTTACATTTTAATTCCTACTTCAAATGTTCATAAAAATAACATATTCCAGAAAAAGAAAAAAAGAAAGAAACTGACAACGTACTTTCTAAACACGTTTGTATCGTGTTTTTTCAATAAATATGATTCCGATATTATAACTAAGCAGCTCAAGAATTCTTAGATTGGGTAGAGGACTCACCTTTGACCCTGATGTCACTATACCTCTGGAAGTGGTGGTAAGCAGCCTTCCAGGGGTTACGGTAGTGCCGCAGGAGTGTGATGGGAGGACGAGGCCTGACTGGCACATACCGAACTCCTTCTTCATCTGCAAGAGAAAATTCATTTTTAAAATCTCTAACCGATCAAACACAAAACCATTAATTGGGATGAATCAATTACTGAAATAATTGTCAGCTGATGTAGTAATCGATTAGCTTGTAATTGGAGTATACAAACGGAAAAAAGGCCATTTTCTGACAAAAAGACACCCTCAGAGCAATAATTCTGGAACAACTGTACAAATATTACAAACTATGCATTTATGATGGTTAAAAAAAACTTGTCAAATTAAGTTCAACCCAGAACACCTCAAATGGCGTAGTTTTAGTTTCACCCTGTTCGAATCGAGTTTCTTTGGGAATCTCGTTAATCTATTAATTCAAACACTGGTTAATCTAAAAGTTAAAAAGCTCAGCCATTCACTGTTAACTTTCAATCAAGGAGATGCATTCTTTGCTACAAATGAGCATGCAACTGGGCCTCTCTCCAGGATACTCAGCCTGGACGTGGGATCACTAAAGAAATGCTGCATTGTTTTATTTTAGATAATGAAATATTTTGTTAAAAAAGAAAAAGAAAAAAAAGTCAAATAGTTTATATGCATCTTTTAATGTATTTATAATTTTGTAGCGAGCCCTCT